TTCCTCTTTCTCCTCATGTAGGAGCAGAGGACAATCACCATGAACTGAAGACAGCTGGCAAAGGCAACTGGCAAATTCAGACTGGATCAGAGGCGCAGTCTCTCACAGCCTGAGCAGAAATCCCAGAGCTACAAGAACATAACACTTGGCTTAATCTGTACTCCAAAATAGCTTCTTTACTTGTTCAGGTCCTCAGATTTACGTTTTGTGAAAGCACAACAAACAATTGAAGGCATGTGATCACAGCAGGTGCAAGGAGGAAAAGCTGGCAGTATTAAATAAAGACAAAGCTATACCTTCACATTTCTCCAGAAGTGATGCAATAACAGCTTCATCTTCCACAGGGTTCAGAGAGCAAGTGGAATAGACCATTCTGCCCCCAACAGCCAGCTGCTCCACCCCACGGATTGCAATTCTCAGCTGCAACCTATTTATTTAAAAAAAAATCACCAGAAAAGACTAAAACTGAAAATATGCTGGGGCACAAATACAAGCACCTTGTTTTATTTCCCTGGAGGAATTTTGGTATTCCAGATCCAGGTCATGAATACATCTGCATGAGAGTTCATGCACAAAAACTTAGCAAAAAGAGTCTTCTCCGTTTTTAATCTAGCTAAGGTTACCGCATTTGATAACCTTATTGCAGTCTTTTCTTCTCACTTACCCATGAAGATGAAGACTGTTGTTGGTTGTCCACTTCTTCCACACATCAATGTTCTTTCTCATTGTCCCATCACCACTGTGGAGGCAGGCAAGACAGGAGTATGTTTTAAAGCACCGGTTGAAAACAAAGCATGGCAGTTCTAAAGACAGGTCACTTAAATTACATAGACTGCCATCTTCAATGTTAATAAATATATTTTGTTTTCCACTTCAAGCAGGCTGGTAATTTGTAACCTTTAATTGAATAATTTTTCTGTAGCTGTAGCTCACAGAAGCAGCAGCAGAAATGTGATGTCTAAAAATTATGTTTTCACTGAGCATATTTCCTCCATTAAATTATTATATCAAACATACAAATAAAATAAAATAAAATATAATGGAGCTGCAATCAAATATTGGTGATTTAAGTATTTTTCATGTCTTGTTATAGTGATTTTTTTAGCAGCTAGATTGTCTGAAAAAGTTATGGTAATCTTAGAACAATTCTGATATGAATCAGTAGAGTTCCATTTCTTAGAGATGAATTTCACCTTTAACTAGTTCAATTGCTGATCACTTGAAAAACTAAAGATCATTAAATCCTATAAAAAGGTTTAAAGCAGAATAATAACGACTATTTTAGAAAAAAATACAATTTTCCAGCTGTTTCAATAGGTATATATATATGAGCTGATGAAAAATTTATCAAAAAGTTTTAACACGTGACAAATTACATCAAGCTATTACTTAGAAAAGACAAAAAGGGAGAATGAAAATCCTTGTTAACAAATAATCCTTCCATTTGTTGGTTTGTCATTTAATTCAAGCAAAAAATCTGCTCCTAAAGGAATTCTGTGAAACATAATTACATCAAGGTGAGAACTTCATATCCAGTTAAACGTTTCTCAGTAACTGGAGTATTAATGAAGTGACCAAAAAAATGTAAATACCTGCAAGGAACATCACAAAGGATCCTGTCATAAAACAGGATATCTTTTTTGCCATCACAGTCTATTTGGAGTCGGGGAATACTGGAGGCATCGTGATTCACAACCATAATGCAAGGGCTGTTTAACCTCTTCGCCTGGTGAACCAGCAGGTAGCAGCGCTTGTTGTCCACATCATTGGCAATAACAAAGCCCTCTAGAAGAGATGGAAACTTGTTAAAGACTTGAATACTAAAGCCAAACATTAAACCCATTAGGAATAAGTAATAGGTTTATTCCATGCTGAAAAAAAGAAGTAAGGGAACACAACGTTTCGGCCGTGGAGCCTTCTTCAGGTGAAGAAGGCTCCACGGCCGAAACGATGTGTTCCCTTACTTCTTTTTTTCAGCATGGAATAAACCTATTACTTATTCCTTTGCAGCCTACGCATGCTGACGCACCTACCCACCTGAACATTAAACAAATTAATTGTTTAAGCATAACCTTTCCACCAACAAATATGTTCTGACACTACATCTTTTCATTAATCAATTTCAGAATTATGGTAAATGCCAAGACATGTAAAACTAAGCAAAAAAAACTTCTAATTACTTTTTTGTCATCTTAAAGGCTGGTGGACCTTTACATTTTCTGATATTCTCTGGAAAATAAATATTGGAAATATAGAGTTTCCAATACACATGAAAAATGTTCATAAGGCACATGCATAAAATATACCTGGAAATGGAACATCCATATCAGCATGCAGCATTTCAATCAACTGAGCAGTCTTAGAGCCAGGAGCAGCGCACATGTCCAGAATCTAAACAAACAAAAAAAACTGAGCTGCAGCTTCATCACTAGAGAAGAGTATACCATCCTGAATAAATAAGAACGATACAATGGAATTTAAGCCATAATGTGTCACAAATCACAATTAAAAAATGACAACCTCAATTGACAATTCAATTTTAAAACGCTCAATGAATTAAATGTTATGAGACAAAAGTACAAACCATTTACTTAAGATTATATGGCAATTATTTCTATTTTTATCAAATGCTTTATCAAAAACAACGAGCCTTTTTTCTGTGTCCAATCAAATACAATTCCTGACATCCCTGATAAATAGTATTTATGAAACTAAGAAATTGGTACCGAGTAAATACCAAATACAAATCCCATTCATCTTTTTTTAAGTTGATACCAAAATGAAATCAAACAACTTGCAATTAAGACAGAGATCCCAGGGTCAGGAATTTTCCACTGTACTAAAGTATTAGTAGGGGATATATTTCCGTGAGGCGGTTACAGAGCTTTGTAAAATTTTCTTTCTAAAAAAAGCACATTAAAAAATCTGAAATAAACAGATATTCTTAAAGGTTTCTTACACAGGTTTTCACTCCTGTCCTATTATGTACAAACGTTTTCATTTTCAAATGTTTGTAACGCCTTTAAGATGCTAAAATCACCTTAAGGCAGGCATCTACACTTCAATAGTTTCCACTAGCAGCATGAAAAGCTTCACGGGCCCAGTTTAAATTGCAGCATACTACAGATTTAAAAAACACAATTATTCTTAATACTTATTACACCAAAATTGACTCTCTATCCACACAAAACTGTGCAGCACAAGTAAAGACCAGTCCACACTCAGAACAATCCAACACACTTTAAATGCAGAGCCCTGCTTGTGCATTCCTATTCCACATAACCTACTAGGTATCCAGTTCCCAACATGCGATTATCACCAAAAACTCTTTCCTCCGTGAATTAAATACATCTTCCTTAAATGAAAAATGGTCATGCTTTATAACATGAATGTTCAACCTGTCTGTATGTAATTAATTATATTATCTTTATATACCTTACCTATAAGCAATCATGTTAATCAAATGATATTACTATAAAGTGCTGGATAATTCCAAATCATGAAAGCTGTTCTCATTTAATACAAAAAAAAGATTTGGAGATTAAATGTTAGCTATGATTTGAACACCATTGCAAAATATTTTAAAAAAGTATAAATTTTAAATAAAAAAAAAGATTACATTTCTTAAATATCAAAGAATTGATTTCCAGATCTGTTCAACCTGTTGAATCTTGCAGCAATAGACATACTTAAAATCTAAAGATGGAAAAAAAGAAGGACATTTTAAATAAAAAATATGCATCTTTTTACCTTATGGTGCGGCTCAATTTTTAGGAGCAAAGGAGGAATCATACTGACAGCTTCTTGACGACTAATGTTACCCTTACAAAAAAAAACATAGCAATAGTTAAAATTCAGGACCAGTGAACAAACTCTGCTAACAATACTATAACTTTGCTTTAAAAAATTAGTGTGAAATCACTTCTGTTCATTTCAAAGTCGCACAAAAATTGCATTGGTCTAAGGTCTAATTGCTTTTACTGTCAACAATAAGTTTATTCCTTTTTTAACTTTTAACTTGACCTTTAACTGTTTAATTACCATTTTTACAGCTATAAAGGAACAAGTAATAGGTTTATTCCATGCTGAAAAAAAGAAGAAAGAGAACACAACGTTTCGGCCGTGGAGCCTTCTTCAGGTGTTACAGCTATGACTGCTACAATTTTGTTATAAAGTTCAGATTCGTTTCAAAACACCTCATCAAAAATATTTTCATAAAAAAAGGATTAGGTTAAAAAAAAAGTACTTACAGATTCAGTCTCGCTAACCAGGAACTGGTGAAACTTCTCCAACAAAGGAGACTTCCGTAGAATCTTTCTGCTCAAGTTTGTATGCCATGCTAAGTCATCTGGGTACCTTGAGGTTACAAAAGGTAGACCTAAGAGAAACATTCAAGCAATCTTCACAAAGTAGTAAGTCACATTAAACAGGATTTTCTGAATTTGGTCAAGATCCATTTAGAAACGGTACGCTCTTACCAGCTCAGTGCTTGTGGCATTTCTATTTTTTGGCCATCTACTTCAAGATCTTGTAGTTCCTTGAAATATTTCTCTTTCAAACAGTGGAGAATTTCATTGGCATGGCTAATTGAAAACACAGATGCGTTATTAAAGGAAATTGTTCAACATTCTTCATATTAAAGATAAAGAGGAACATACAGAAAACTATAAGAAAACAATCAAAATCACAAAACATTTCAACCAACTCCTACTGGCAAGAGAAAATTTGCAGTTCTTCATCAATTGATAAGTTGAGGACATTGGATCAAGAATCATTGATGAAATTCCAGCAACAATCTTATTTCTTTATGATCATTTAAACGTTTTTATGATGTTTTAGTCATCCAACAATTTACAGCTGAACATCCAAAAGAACATAACATAGCAAACTGATGTCATCCTTAGGATGAAATAGTAAACAGAGATCCTAACTACTTGGTTATTGTATAGCCCACGGCACTTTTCAGTGTTTAATCTAGTATCATTCTACTTCTTCGCTCAGCTAGCATCCTTAATATTTTCTCTTAAATTAATCTGTGAAGTAATTTCACACCTATCTAAAAGAACTACTGTGTAGCAGGGCAACTGCACTTCAGTGGTTGGTGAAGAGTGTGCCCTCCTATACGTAAAGTGGTTTTGGATCCCTTGCATTACAAAGTGTTAGGAAAATGCAAGGACTTTTATATTACTTAAATCTGTATAAATAAATCTGCTGTGGTTTACTGGGACCATTTCAAATCACCACAGCAATATGAAAATATAATTCAGATGTCATATAAAAAAGTTCCTTTGTCTGAGAATTCAGAGCAACTGGAGGCAACACCTGACATTAGTGCTGCAGTTATTGCTCCAGAAAGAAGGGAAGTATATTTCTTATGATCATCTTGCTACAAGGTGCTAGAAAAATGAACACATCTCTGTTTATTTCAACACCAATCCTCAGAACCTTTAAAGAAAAGGGATTAATTTAATGTAAAGCCTTCTGTTCTCTGATTTTAGAACCCTTTAATATTTAACTTGTATTTGACTGTGAATCTCTAGTAACTTAGTCACTTTCACATGACAATGTATACAAAATTACTGTGAAATGACAGTGAGGTAGTGCAGTCTTTATCCATGGAAATCTCCTTCAACAGTTTCATTTGTATATGTATTCATAGTTTCATTGTAAAGTTTTCATAATGCATTTATTTAAACAGGCCTAGACACTTAATAAGTTATAATTTCTTACCTTTTGTATCCTGTTATCCTTATTGTAGCAGGCAAGGGCTCCCTCATGGCGTCCATAAACTGCTCCCATTCTCCCTCGGGAACGATTTTAAGCTCTTGGTAGTACTGCTCAAATAGTTTGTTTTCCTTAACGATTTCTGCGTATCCAGCACCCCAGCCCTGTTAACAGAGGCAGCATAAGACAGATACAGTAATTAACTAAAGGAACTGGCTAAGAGAGGAATAAAAAAAATCATTATAACGACAATTCGCATATACAAATTAATATGCATCAACACAGCACTGTAAACGCATAATGTGCTAGTTTAAACAAGCTTTAACTTCACTACATACAGGTTTATACACACCTAGGTACTGGTAACAATGCAAGACATGAATTACAATTGATCAAATCTAAACAAAACCAGAACTTCCCATCAGTCCACACGACGAGTTGCAACTCTTTATTTATTCAAGTAAAACATTTCTAACAAGGGACTGGACAGATTATTTAATGCAATAGAATATTCTCAGTAACTGTTCATAACATTATTATAGATTACAAGACCAAACTTACTACTTCAACCATGACAAAAGCCCAGAAGAGTAATTATGAAGAGAACCAATTAAACTTACAGCATCGTCTCTGCTTCTTCCTCCAGCTTTTCCATTTCTGTCTTGATTTTTCTGTCTGTTCCTGTTCCTTTTCCCCATGCCGGATATGCAAATAACTCGAGAGATATACCTACGAAACGTTATTGAAGATTAGAAATAAAATCCGGAGTGCACTTACTGCTGACAAACGTGCTCCCTATATTCACCAGATAATAAGCAACTCCAACTTACGATGCCACAACTCGTGTGTAGCACGCAGGACGCTCTCATGAGAATAAAAGCCCGGCAGTGTCCTTCGCATTGCCTGATATCTGAGGTCACTGAAACGCACAAATGCAGGACTATCTACTGGTTTATTATAATCATATTCTTTATTTTAATAAAGAAAATAATCTATACGAGGTTAGGTTTTTTTTTATAATGGATTTTTTTTTAAACAGGCAAATAAAGGGACAGCTATGAGGGTCGTTTTTTCTTCGCCGTTCAGCTGCGCAACAAGAAGCGGTTGCCTGGGCTGCAATGTAACCACGCGAGAAAATATTCCATACATTGGAATCTGAATCAGCTAAAAAGACGATTTGAAAATATATTCGTTATTATGGACTGCTTTTCGTTGATAAAGAGTGCGCATGTAATTTTCACTAATAATAACTTTTAACCAACAGATTTATTTGGAAATACATAGTAGCAAACTAAAAATGTGACCAGTTAAACATTACAAAAGCAGTATGGAAAACACCCTTATTCGATAATAAGCCAAACGTCTTTGATTGGCTCCGTAGTTCTCAAATAACAGAGGTTGAAGCAGATTGGGCTTCAAGTGCGTGTGTTCCACCCTTGCTGTGTCCTGATTGGTAATAGCCCTCTGGCCTGTTTATTTGCAGAATCAATATTCTGGGTTTCAGACTGCTAATACAGAACGAGTAGTGATTTTCATTCATTGAGATTGTGCGTGTCCTTTTCTTGAACAAATAACAAGCTGATTCATCGCGCCTTCTGTTTCTAACGTTGGCATCTGTCAGCTGTCTGTACTTTATTAGCAATGTGTAAAGCGTTATCTAATCTCTTCGGTTCTGAAGCTGAAGAATACTACCTATTGGAATGCATGTCTTACCTAATGATTTTTATGGCTGCTGTAACATTTTTGGTTTTGCTTTTTGAGAACGTACCGTACGGCAGGTATGCAACAAGCAAATACGGGTTTCCTGTCAATGCACGATTTGCCTGGTTTGTACAAGAGTTACCTGCACTGGTTGTGCCGGTCTTACTACTGTTAACGGCATCTTCCGCCCGAGCCTCTTACCTGCCCAATCAGTTGCTTCTTGCAATGTATTTACTCCACTATTTTCAAAGGTAAGAATAAATATATGAGGTGAATGTAAAACCAATTTGAATTCATTGTCAGGTGTTACCCCAGTCGCATTTCTGTTATGGGTCTATTTTCATTCAACTCAAAAAACTCTTACATTTGTTATTTTGCACATTTGTCAACGTCTATAGTTTAAGTATTGGGAGCTGAATTATTTAGAAAGGTTTTCATTAAGCCGAATGCACTATAGGTTCTGGTGATAAAAAGTATGCGTCTAATCTAGAACCGTATCTTTCGTGACCCTTTCTTTAATTATTCCCTTCATTTACACCACTGGCATCGAACAACACAAGATAAAGTTTTGCCAAAAGTACCACGCTTTGTTTTCGATTTTTTAAAATAATACAGTTAGTGAAAAAGTAACCATATCTTGTTGTTGCAGGTCGCTTATTTATCCATTTTTAATTCGAGGAGGAAAGCCTACACCCTTTCTTTCTTTTGTGATGGCATTTTTATTCTGCGTATACAATGGCTATCTACAAGGAAGATACTTGAGCCACTTTGCAAAATACCCTGCAGACTGGATAATGCATCCCTGTTTCATAATAGGTGAACTGCATTTTTTAGTATTTTGGACTACTTGTGTATTGCGTGTGGAGCAAGCTTTTAATTTTCCTAGAGAAAGCAGATGCACATCTACTACTTTACGTAATTTAAAGAGTTATATTATTCTTCAAGAAAAAAACAACACTAACATCTGAATTCTTCACTTGTCATCTTGGTTTACTTTCAGGATTTCTTATGTGGTTATTGGGTGTGTTGATAAATGTACATTCAGATCACATTCTTAGAAACCTCAGAAAGCCTGAAGAGACAGGCTACAAGATACCACAGGGTGAGTACCCTTTTGCTATTTCAGCTTTTGATAACAATTAGGTGTATTAATACAATTAACTGTACTGTATATGAACTGTACAAATCTCTGTAAAGTTAGAAAAAGTACTCAGTTTTAAATTTTAAAGCTACTGTAATTAATGTTGACATTTCATTTATATATCTGTATAAGGTTCGGGGTTATACAAAAGCATTCTTTAGATCCATTTCATTGATGCATACTCAGTTTGATAACATGAGGTTTGGGGCTGAAGATTATGGTGGTCAGTTCACCTCTGTATTTCGCAAGGCCTTGAACTAATAATCAGTTTATGATTCATTTCACAGCACTCTAGCACTTACTAAGCTCATTAATGTCTTGATAATCTTTTAACTTTTTACAGCAACAGACTGAAATAAATGCAGATAAAAATTGGCTTTTCATTATGAATACTTAGCCCATTTCTAAAGTTAGAGACTGTTCGAACATTAATGTGTGATGCACAATAAATCATTGTAGGTTCTTTCATTGTATTACTGCATTGTCAGGCTTTGTTCTTTTTGTAGTTTAAGCGGTTCTGCATATGAAGTTTTAACTTGTATAAATGAGTTTTCTTATTTTTCAGGTGGCTTGTTTGAATATGTGTCTGGCGCTAATTTTTTGGGTGAGATAGTGGAGTGGGCTGGATTTGCTGTTGCTACTTGCTCACTTCAAAGTGCTGCATTTGCAATTTTTACCTCTGTGGTACTCTCCAGTCGGGCTGTTTCACACCATGGGTAAGATAAGTAATTGACTGTAGTGTTTTTCTTTCCTGCAGTTTCTGGAAATAGTGAATTCTGCTATTAGCAGAGAGATTAATTAGCATGTTTGAAAAAGTAGTGGGAATTCTTAAGTTGTGACAGCAACAGCAGTCAACCTCATAACATAAAACAGTGATGGAATTTTTCATTTTCTGTGCTTGAATGTGAGATTTAAGTAAAGTACATACCAACTGGAAATCCTCCGCCATAGAAAACAAGGCAAAAATCTTTTTTTTGAAGAAGCAAGTAAGTGTAATAAAATGCATTGAATTAATGCTTGTTTTAAAATAATATGTTGGCAATGATGACTTTTAAACTAAATCAAATTAAGTGTAGCTTTGATATGTTAGTAGATTTGCAAGACAGCAATGCTGGGGCCCTAGGTTCAATTCCAGACCTGGGGTGCTATCTGTGTGGAGTTCATATGTTCTCACCATTTTTGTATTGGTTTTCTCCCACAGTCCAAAGACATACTGGTAGGTTGATTGGCTTATGAGAAAATAGAGACAAACATACACACTTGCACACTCAGACCAGGGCCTGTTTGCCTTGTAATGGACTGGCATCCCATCCAGGGTGTACCCTGCCTTCTGCAAGTTGCCTGTCCGGATGCTATATGCACTGATTTGTCTAAGATTTTAGAACTTTACATTCAGAGGCTACAATTACGTTTTAACAACTTTGACATTGAATAGATTATACATGATAGAAAGATACATGATAGACATTATAGCTGATAGAAAGAGGTGTATTTGTTTACCTATTGTATGTACCAAGCAAATCAGGATGCACTTTTAGCTTAAAACAAAATGGTTTCACTTTCAGTAGATGAAAGCCTTTAGTTGTTTTGCATGAAAGGGACAAACATTTGATGAAATAAGCAGAACAATGTAAAATGTCTTAGGCTTATATTTAGCAGTGCAGACTATGTCTTGCTGGACTAAAGTGTATGTCTTGACTGTATTTATCAGCTTTTCTTTGCAGTTTCTCTTTGTATTAATTTAAAATTAAAAAAGCAAAACAAACTATATATAACAGTAAAATATGCAAAGAAACACACATCAGGGTTACCTTGTTCTTCTATGAGGCCTGCTCCTTATTCTGAGTCAATATCATCGCCTATAAACACTGTAGTTTCTTCAGTCTTCCATCTGATAAGATACAATTTAGTGAGTATACTTTGCATGTTGAACATCACCATGGATGATATTTGGTGATATAATGTACTCTCATTAACAGTCATCATTTATTATATGTAAATGACTTGAACGTTAAACAGATTGTTTTTTTGAAGTTGTTTTTATTACCATCCTTGAGCGAATAAGGCCTTTAAGCATGTTTCACCTTTGTCAGTGTATGAAAATGCCCCTTGGCGATTATTGTTTTCGCTACAGCTCCTACTTTGTCTAAGGCCTAACATTTTATTATGGATATCAGGGTATCTTTGTAGCCTTATGAAATAAGTACTAGGCCTTTGCAGCTGTCTTTGAAATAAGTTAATTTTAATTTCCAGTTTCTGGGTTAAAGTGACATCCACTGTTCATACTAAGGATATTGTCTGTGGCCAAAAGCAGGGGTTTTATAAAAGATGTGTTCAATAAAAAAAAAAAAAATAAAATAAAAGCAGATGTACCAATTTAATAATGCAAGAATGTATTGCATTTATGTTCCAGGAGTACAGTTTAGCATATAACTGAAAATGCCATGATTTTACAAAGAAAATGAGAAATTCTCTAAAACTTACATGACTGTAAGTCAGTTGATTTTAAAATTTATAATAATATACAGGTAGGTGAACAGTGCTTCAATGTGTGTAGCATGTTAGAATACTGCAATATTATTTTGTTGCAATAATATTTACTGTATGTAGAATTGGTTATAAAGTATGCAGTCTTGTATTATGTATGTAATCCAAATATTGATAATCTAATTGTCCTACTGGTTGTTTGCAGGTGGTACCTTCAAAAGTTTGAAGACTATCCCAAGTCCAGAAAAGCTTTAGTACCTTTTTTGCTTTGACAGACAAGTGATTATTAGGAATGGAAAAACAGCAGTACATAAAATACAACACCATATACATAGGTTTTCCAATAACACTAATACACAAATTATTTTGTAAAACAGCCCATAAAAGGGAACAGATTGTTAAAAATGAAGATCAAACAAAAAAAACATATCTTACAAAACAGAGTCCTTTGATTGAAGAATCAAACTTGGCAACTCAATCATTATAAATGGAGGAAATAATTTTAATCATGGTTAATGGGTTATTTTGCTACTAATATTTAGGTTTATATTTGTATTTTCTTTAAATCATGACTTTCCTTAAATATGCAAGGGGTATTTTATTTATATTTCACAGCCAAGGAAAATAATGTTGTAGTTATAGAAACATTTAGATATTGGTAGCATGTTAACCATGGCTGTTGGTAAATGAAAAATGTAAGCAATAATAAAATGTAACAGCATCAAAGAATCTCAATGCATTTGCTAAGGGTTTTTTTTATTAATTTCATGATGAAATACAGACTGGTTAAAACATAAGGCAGTTGAAAAGAACTTCTGGAATAGAAATGATCAGGCATATGTGTAAAAAAAGGAAAAATATGGAGACCAAAATATCAATAACCTTGATTCCCTGTAGCACATGTTCTAACAAGAAATATCTGACATCTTTTTGCAAAGTACCATCAGAAGAAGCATGAATTATTGGTTCTATAAAACTCTAGGTTGCTGAAGTCAGAACAAAACAAATAAAAGGAAATGACATTTTTTGCTATCACTCCACGCAGGTGCATTAACGGTGTTAATCAGATGTCGCCTCTTCTGAAATACAAAGAGCACAGTTGAGACATGATTGAGCTAGGAAATAGTCAGCCAACTCAGGTACAGCAACTTGCAGTGCAGCTCAAGGTTATTTTGCAGTGCATTATGTTACATCACTCAGTATACAAGAAGTCTTTAAAGGACAGTATTTAACTGAGGAAATACTTTCTAAATATTCAAGCAAATTGCATGTTTATACATGATATATAAGTTATTATCCTGTATTCAGATATTAGTTTTTTTTTATTTAATTTGGTTCCTCACTACTAACTTGCTACCTCAAAGTTCACTAGGATTAGTCCTTATTAGATAGTAACAAAATATGCTAAGTTTAATATTCCATTTAACAAATTACTGAACCTTTAGTGCACATTTTCACGTTTACTGCTACCAGTATTCATGTCCCCATTCTGTTTACATTTCCTGAGCAATCCATATTGCTGTTAAAGTCTCATATCAGAATGTCTGTAGATATTCTTCTAAAATCAAGCATGTTAGGTTCCATTTTGATTTCCAATGTTTCCAATCCATTAATTGAATGTTTTCAATTAATAATTATAAACGAGACATTAAAAACACAATAGAACTCAGATCCCTTATTCAATCTTCCAGTCTTGTTATAATATGGAATGCTCCAATCACAATGTTGTAAATACATGTTTTAAACCTAAAGGTATGTATTGTATCATGCAATTCTTTACTTGTAATGCTAAACAGTTTAATTAAAAATTACATAATGTTAAAGCTGAGTGCATTATAGTCAAGTATGTGGATATTCTACTATTCTTCATGACTTATCAATTAAACTCCCACAGGTCAATTCAGTATATCACAAACTCTGCCCCATGTCATAGCATCCAAACATTATATCTTCTGTCCAGATGGCTGGTAGTGAAAATGTTTATTTCACCTCATGTATTGTATTTTCTGTTTTTATTTTTTCCAACATACAATTTTTGAATTGTACAAATGTGTACACAGAATTATTAAAGCTGGTTTGTTACAAATACATTGTCATCCTGTTGTGATTGGAATGTTTCCTCAGGAAAATAACTTGTGAAGTTGATTTGGAAATAAATGTTTTATTTAATTCTTCTAATCGGAGATAATTTGAATTATTTCTATTCTGCTATTATATATGCCTCCCTGAAGGAAGTTTTCACTAAATATTGTGGTATAGCCATAGTCAAGAAGGTCAAAGGTTTTATTTACTTTCCGTGTCTGTAGTAAAAAAAAAAGTATCATAGTTTTATTAATTAAAAAAGGGTAAAATATGTGTCGGGTGGCATGGCGGCACAGTGACCATCATTACTTTGTTGCAGCACTGGGGAAATTGGCCCTGGTGTGAGTGTGTCTGTCTGCCTACCCTGAAATTGGTGCCTGTCTAGGGTGTACCCCGCCTTGCACCCACTGCTTGCAGGAATGAGCTCCGGCTCCGCCGTGACCTTGACTTGGACAAAGTGGTTAGCAAATGGATGAAAAAAGGTTGACAATGGTAGGATGCATTTAATAATACAGTACTGGCATGTGTATGGCCAAAATGAATCAATTTACACTGCCCTATAAAAGCTAGGCAACCAATTAAATTGTTTAGTAGGTTCTTTGCATATAGTAAGCTCCATTTCCACTTCTGCATTTAATTAGGACAGAGATCCTTGAACCCTATCTAATACGTCAGGGGTCTCAGACTCAATTCCATAAGGGCCTTGTGTCTTTTATTTTTTATCTACCCAAGCTCTCGGTTACATAATTGGCCTAATTATAAAATTAACTACATTATTGTAATACTTTTAGGCATACATTTTAATGAAATAAATGTTCTGAGTCATCACCTGTAAGAGACCTTAAACATTCCTATATTTGGCTTTTTTAAGAAAATAATTAAAAAGGGCCTTACACTCTGCAGGAAATGAATTTGACACCCCTGGTCTAAATAATAATCAGTCTCGATACCAGCTTGAGTGTATGCGTTTTATAACTCCTATGTTATATATATAAAGTATACCCCCCACTGGTAGGGAATGAGTCATGTGGCCCTGTGGTTTCTTGAATGTTCCATGAACAATTTGCCAGCAGAAAACTAAAGAGGCATTACTATAGTGTAAGACGTTAAATATTAGGCAGATCTACAAACAAAAAAACATAATACCTGAAAATCCTATTTACAATTGTCGTAAGGTTTAAAGCCAAAGACTTTATATCACAGGTACACAACTCTAGTGTCAGTCAGTGAGGACCAGATACCTGCAGATTTGCTAGGTCTCTCTAATGACCAGCTGAAGACCTTTGAAAGTGTTAAATTGGTCCAGTTAAGCTAATGCTTAGCTTAATTAGGTCATTATGAACACCTACAGACCCTACAAACATCCAGTACTGGAGTTATATTGGTGTACAAACATTACTTCCAGTCTTCACTTCACTACAGAAGGTCCCTAATGTTAACCACCCTAATGCACACAGAAGTGGTCATAAATCTTTATAAGGGAAAGTAAGACTGGTTTAATAAAATAACTAATCATTCATGGCAAGTCTGCCCTGTAGGCCAAGGCTTCAACATAAATTTCCAAAAATGCATCTTATTAGGAAAAGTGAATGGCAAATTTCTCCTGTCATTCTTTGTCTTTTAATGTGAGCAATACTGATGGAAGGTGGAAAAGGTGAGACTGTTGTGCCTGCAACCCAGCCTACAGGGGGTCAAAGAAATTACAGGATAAAAGCACCATCATGTGCAGTCTAAAACAAACTTCTTCAAACTTCTGAAGTTTATTTTAAAACTCATGTAACTTTTTATTCCTTTGGGGTTTTTTTATAATATATTTTAACAAAGAAAATACTGTGCCATAGGAACAAAATTATAGAACTCACCATTCACTACACTTCACTACAAAATGAGTAATGATCAAATTCAACAGGCTTCTAAGTAGAGGTTGATTTAATATGCAAAGTGAAATGAAAGAAAAAAGGCTGTCGGTCCTACTTCAGGTGTGTCAGGATTTTTTGAGTTTGTCTTCAAACATGTTTTGTGGTAAACTGTCTTTAAATACGTTTTTAGTTAGGAACGTGCTCAAAATAGTTTCGGAGCGTTCAAATGTTAAAAGGTTCCCAGTCAAGACTAAACATAAACGCTGCGTTTTGCTATCAAAGAAATATGTTACCGAGTACATTAAGAACAATGGAAGACTGCTAGGACGTTAATGACAATGTATCCTTAAGTGGTTGGGAAAGTGTTTCATTGAGAGATCTGGTTTCCAATCAACTCTTTTTAAATCTGGGCATCTGAACCCTGTAGAATATCTTACGTACGGCACAATTCTGGCTATCCGGGAGACGCCATTACCGTAATGTACAAACTAGAGCTAGGATGGGCCGAATCTCCCGTTCTTTGAGATTTCAAGTACGGATTGGAGGAGCAAAAGGTAATAGCAACTGCGCCTGCTCTTTGGTGAAACAGGGGGATGGGCCCAGGGCGAGAGTTTAAAATCCAGCACGCATGCGCATTAGGGGTTCGGGTTCAAGAGAATGCGCCATATTGGATCGCAGTAGTGTATAACAGTTTATAGTATTTAGGATTAGCAGCGGTCCCCGGTCCCTTTGGGCTTTTAGCGCTTACTTTCTGGGTTTTTTTAAATGGGGTGTAATTGCGAACTATAAAGGACCATACACGCGTGTATTTTAACAGACAAAGGGATTCGGAGAAAGGGTTGTTAAAACAGAAGTTTGAATGGATCCGAGGGTAGCTTGGATTCAGCCCGAACAGAAAGGACCTGCTAATGCTTTGTGGATGCATATCTGGGAGACCTCTCAGGCTGTCAGGACAAACTCCAGTCATCACCAACACCTCTGTGTTAATTCGCCGGCTTTGGACTCCAGCGTTTTTAAAAATGTAGCTGCTGCTGCTGCTCCCAGAAAAAGCACGGGCAACTGTAGCAGCCATCAGAATCATGCGCCCGGTAAGGACAGCAGCAGTAGCATTGTTGTAATTTCATCTTCCAGTGTATCAAACAGCAGCACACATAATGCTCTGCCTCCCCCAGCCAGTAACCGATTAAAGGCAGCTGGTGGAGAGGGGAAACGGTTGCAAAAGACTCCATCTGTGTCTTCGTCCTCCTCGATCGAGTCGGGAACGGAAAGCCCTTCATCCAACTCCTCTTCGGGAAGGACTATTGGTAATAGCAATACTGGTAGCAGTAATAAGACTGCAGGCGGTGCCAACCTATTTTTCAATTTCAGCGAGAACTTGTTATACAATGCCAATAACAGCACTCATCATCAGCAGGAGCAGCATCAACACAGCCTCCACGAAAACTACAAGTTTCACCAGTATCACAGCTCCACAGCTCTCAACAACCATCACAACCGCCACCCAGGCCGAAGGAAAAGTGACAATAAAGCGAGCACTTATGGGATCAACTATTTGCTCTCCAACTGGGGTAATGGGAACTATGCCTGTTCTGGGACGCCTTGGAAAACCAGGAAATACAGTCCCGGGGTCAACGGGTAAGATACGTCTGAAATACTGAGCTGTGCAAGGGTTCACTGTGACAAGCTGTCGGCTGAATGTAAAATGAGGTGCAGCGATTACTTCAGCCAATTTGTAACTTGTAGTGAGGACCTTGACTCGTTTAGAAAATATTTTTAAAAAATGGTTTAAACTATCATGCAAAGGGAATTATTGCACACGAGAAAGAAGTGTGCAGTTCCGTAGCTAATTCTTTTGACTAGACAGGTGTTAATAGGACATTTTACGCTTGATTCGAGTAATGCAATTACTTCCACACGGGGCACAAGGCGAAAAGCAGGCTGGTCGTATGTATCGGTTTTACGCTTGGGGATCTCGGTTTTTGTCTTTCGCCGCTTGCTTATAACTCTCGGGCAAAACGGCGTTTGAAATGTAAGTAGTAGCGTGTTTGAGATGGTTGTTTGAAAGTGGATTTCGGTTTGTTTTACGGATAATTGGGTTTGCACGAAGAAGAGGTTTTGAAGTGAAGCTCCACTGGGGCTGGTGGGCGTGTACTCGGAGTGGGTTGGGTAGGTTTGGAATGTGGGGACATAGGCAACAAAAAAAAACCCCGAAAAGCTTTTAAATGGTTACAAATGGGAGGTTTACCCCCCTTTTCTGTGCCCGTATAATGCTTCATTTAGGCATTTCTCCTTTAATCAACTAGACAAGTCAATCTGTCGTTAAATCCGTTCGGATAAATGGGATCTTTGCTATTCTTAGCCAAACAAATTACTTTGACCGAATGGTATGCGTAAAACTAAACCACGATTTTTTTTTTTATTTGACACAAAATGGTGTCGCTAACGTCTACCTAAGGCCTGTGTGTGGTAATACGACGGTCCCGTTCTTTCAAAAATGTATCCTCGGTCTCTTCGTCCTGCCCCTCTGTTGAAACATGATATTTTAAGTTTAACATATAGAAACCTCAGAGTAGTTTTATACTGTCATGAGATTATTTTTTTTTGACAGAGCAGGGTATTTGTCCAGAAGGATGTTATGGATTTGGCCTTTTATTACTTTGTGGGCATTAATGTAATTCTCTGGTCTCGATTGTGGTTTGCACATTTCCTTTTACTGAGCCGTTGGAAGGGCTGTAGCAGTAATTTTAGGGCTGTTAAGACGATCTTGCCGTTCATTTGGTTAGGAGTTCCGCAGACAGAATAGTTTTTAGTCACCTTTAGAACAGGCGTTCATTTGACGGGTTTTCGCCGTTTTGATTCCGGTGCGTTTGTACTTGACATCAGGGCCAAGTTGTAGGGCGCTTTCGGATTCCTGCACGGTAACTGAATTAAGTGCTCACGTGAGGGAAATGGTCGGGCATAATTGGACCTCACATTTTGAAAATGGTTAGTGCTTTCTTAAACGTCCTCTCCTTTGGTTTCCGAAAAAAAAAAATCTATTCAGCCAATTACAGATCAATGAGAAGAAAGTACAGTAACGCGACGGGTTTGTGCAGGATGTGGTCGAATGCTGAATGCGAATTTGAAACGGGTTGGGAAATGAACTTGTAATGGTTGCTTGCGCCCACATGGGATATTTCTTGTGCAAGAACTGTGGAACTGCTGGCTTCAGAACGTCGGGGTTTTGAAAGACAAACCAGAAAAATAAAAATCGTCCGGTTTCAAAGTTTCATTTCTTCCATTAAATAATTTCAGATGGAAGCAGTAACTAATGGGCCCATGTTTACATTTGACTTATTACAGCGATCTTTGGTTTTTACACCTGGACGTCTGTAGCCATTGAAGTTATCAGATTTGACTATAACGGTTTAAAGTTGAAACGTTTATTTTCTTGAACTTGGAAATGCTGTGACAAGATTGAAAAATATTTCTTGAATTTTATATTTGCATGAACACTTTTTCCTATTCTGTTTTCTTCGCTTTTTTTTGTTAGCATCTGTTCTTACAGTGTTTGAATACTTCAAATGTTGCATTTAAGTTGTCCACCAAGAAACATCAGGGCAATGAAAACGATTTTCAGATACCCAAGCTGTTTATAGAAACTTTAAATTGTGTGCTTAAGGTCTTTTTAGGAGAAGTCCAGTGTGAAATGGAGACCAAACTGCGGTGTAGAATATATGCTGTTATTGTATAATACAGTAATCCAAAACCTATTTATAATGCCATGGTGCTAATCTAAAAAATCGGTCTCCTCAGTGTAAACCACATGAGATGCTTGTGCTGACAACACAGTGTCAGAATACAGCGCTCTACTGTATGATTATGATGGTCTCTGAACACAAATGTGATCCTGTCCATGTTGCATTGACAATTGTTAATTTTAAGATTTATATTATTTAGAACGTATCACATTATGTGGTTATGTAGGGACCTCATTTTGGCATGTTTATCTCAGCCATTGACAGCTTCTGAAATACATCAGTGGCTGCAACAGGGCCCTGGGTTCAATTCTGGATGTGGGAAGCTCTCTGTGTGGAGTTGATATCTTCTCCCCAGGTTTGTGTGCTCCAGTGTCCTCCCTCAGTCCAAAGAAACTGGTGGCTCAGTTGGCCTTTGGGGAAAACGGGCCCTGATGTGAGTGTTGTGCATGTCTGTGTCTGTCCTGCAGTGGACCAGCATCCCGTCCAGGATCTACCAGGGACTAACTCCAACTCCCCCCTAACCCTGAGTAAGAACATCCATGCATTTTCTAAGTTTGGAATTAGTTGATTAAATGTTCTGCTAAGGAGTCACTTGTGGCCTGGGATAAAGATTGCCAGTAACAAAATGGGGGTTCTTTTATGAACTTTATACCAGAATACTTCTTGTAGAATAATTTCATTGTCACTAGACGTATGCCTCCCAAGATTAGATTTAATTGCTCAGTTTTTGAAGAGCGCATAGTTTTATAAATGGTAACCTGATTTGAGCATATGAAGTTCTGGCTCAGCCTGTGAGGTGCAGTAGTGAACAAACTTGCCACGTTTCATGTCAGACAGGGATAGTAGTTCAGTGGGCTAGAGTTTGTGAACAAAGTGGTGGCAGCCATTCTGTTTTATATGGGAACCCCATTTCACCACATCTTAACCGGATGGTTACCAAGTCTGGAGTTTAATTCATTTCAGTCCTTGATCAAGAGCCGTGTGCTCAATTTGCTTAAGTTTTTCGCCACACAGTGAATGACCCACTGCAGAAGGGGGAGTCATCGAAGCTCTTGCGAGGTGCAAACTAGAAACCGTTTTTGATTGAATTGAAACTTGGCACAAATTCATAAACAGTGATACTGTTCCTGTGATGGAGACCATGTGAGGTGTATATATGCTGGAAAAACAATGTCTTGTAAGTAAATCTTCTAGTCTTATGGTACTTTATATTACAATTTTTGGAGTTAATGGATCAAATAGCTTTAAAAAGGCTGGAATTGGTGTAATGCGCCATGTATTAACAAGGAAGAGATCCTTGTTTTTTCATGTTGCCCATTCATCTTGTTAGTAGCCGATTAAATACCTATAAAGCTCAAAAACTGTTTCACAAATTAGCTCCAAGCAAGAGCTGTTTGCATGATAGTCCTATCTCGGAATTATGAGCCAAAATCAGTGTTTCCAATGCACCCTGCAACTGTTAGATATATGTGCAGTTGCGTGAAGGTTTATAAGATTTTGAAAGAGTTTTCAGGTGATGTATCTGTCCCAATATACTGTACTTCTGTGGCATGTACTTTCTAGGATTCCAAGTCTTGGAACACAAGCCGTTTCAAAAGTTTGAAACCAACTCACTTCCATTAGTTGGAAATCTACATCGTTTGTTGGAAATTGTTTATAATTCGTGATATCAGTCTACTTTTGTTTATGTCGGCTAATTATAATGTAAGCTTTAAGGTATGTCATACAACTACATGTGGTCTTGTGTAAAATCTATTTTCTTAATTTACTTTTCAAGGGAAAAGTACAGGAATTGCTGTTGACTCAAAGTGTTTGCTGCTTTTCTGAGCTCTAATAATGGAGCCTTGGATTAAAACGTTCAAAATGTCCCATAGCATTTTTTAAGTTTTGTAAAATTTTGCACTTGCAGTAAAATCTTTACAAACTGGAATGCTGTGCTAACTGGGCTTTTCCCCATAAGCCAATACAAAATCATCCTTTGCTCTTGGGAAGAATTTCAAGTTGTCTTGCTTTCAGTCTGTCTCTGCTGTATTTTGGTAGGCTCGGGTATTGCAATTAGTATTAAAGTACCGTACAGTACACTGTAATAGTGTTTTGTATTCCAGCACTGTAATAAGTTGTAAGAGCGAAGGTACCATAAATGTGTCCCAACTTGCATACATTTTAACCTCTGTGTGGTTGAGAGGAACATTTGATTGTGAGAACATACTTAAATCTTGACTAACCAGCTAACTTTGAATAACTGGCACTCCTCGCTCTCCATTTATGCCTGATGGTTCAGTTTTACTGTAATACTGCAACACTTTAAGAGGAATATTTTTGCTTTAAAAAGTGATACATTGAACTTTTAAATAAAAGATGTTTAGCTCTGTCTCTGAAGCTAGCAAATGCTGTAGTTGTGAAGCATTGAATATTTTTGAAGGGTTTTGTAGATGCCTACATGAAACTGCAAGCCAGGGTTTAACATTTTGAGTGCCTTGTAGTATTCTTTTATGGTATTAAAAATTGTCATGTAACTCAGTTGTGTAGTTCAGGAGACAATCTTCTGCTTGTCAACATTTTGTGGTGAACTAAACAATGGATTGACTTGCATTAAGACAGTACTTTTAGGTCTTAACGCCATTAATTCATCACATTCTGTACAAACGTATGTAAAGAGTCCAGCTGAGCAGGCCTGAATTGTAATAGAAAGTCTGAAGCTTTCTTCTGTTGTTGCTAGGGAGTAGAATTGCGCACTGTAAATCTTCATGCATAAAAATATAAGCTGCTACAAAACATATATTATAAAAGCTTTGCCTGTTTTTAATTTCATTTGATTCATCTGCCTGAATTGAAAACCATGGAGACCTCTTATCCTCCCCAGTAACTGCTCCTTGATATCTTCAGTTATTTCATCAGTCCTCATGGCAACAGTGTTGTGTGAAAGTGGAACTTGTCCTACCTTGCAGGATGCAGTTTTTTAATCATTTATGGTAGATATCATTTGCTGCAGTATGAATCTTTTCTTCACTGATTTTATAGAATGGAAGGCTTTTTTTTTTTAGCTTTATCAATCAGGAGCCAGTAAGAATGATGCACTCAACGGAGCTTTGTTTATATATGTGGTAGGAGGATAATTTCCTTTTGTCCTTCAAATTTACCTTTTGTCTGTTGGACATTTGTCTAAGCTCTTAATAGTGACTCAGGGAACTGTCTAACCTAAATTAAAGCCATCCAACATCAAAAGCCATTCATCGGCTGGACGAATGTCTTTGCTTGGTCAGTTGTCAAAGGGCAGATGTGAGCTGGGTATAGAATAGTTAGGGCATTGGTTAAAGCTTGTATCATGACCTAGCAGCCCAGCCCTACACAGGTCAGTACCAATTTGTGCTACTGATCTGCATAGTTCTAGATGAATTGAGGATTGAATCGGAGGTAAAACACACAGAACAGTGGCCAACTGTCTACAGTCAGCAGTTCTGGCAGTCAGACATAAACCCTCCCCCTTAGCAATGGGTATCTGACTAAAATCATGTCAGGCTACAGATGTTACCTAGTCGACATCTGTATTTGAAGTTCTATAACCAAAATGCTTTGTTGTAATTTTCTTCTTACTGAATTTGACATGTACGTTGCTTAATTTATTACATAGATTTTTTTCTGATCCAGACTTTGTCACAGTGTCTACTGCTATCACCTGCTGTGGACTATGTAGATGAGTACCTTCCTATATTGGACTTGCATTTTTCAGACGGCAAGGTTTTCATTTTTTACCATATGCTTCTCAACTTTTATTTCAATTACTAATATGTAGTGAAAACCATACGATCGTACCCTGTGATACCACTAGTGCTTAAGAATTTGAACTTGGCTGCAACTATAAATTATTCTGGTCCATGAAATAGTTATTTGTCACTAGATTGATGCAATATCATTGGTACAAGCTAACAGTTTCTTTGGAATCTTCTTGCAACTAGAAATAAAAGCAAAAGACTCACTTGATCTTGTTAGTGATGTTTGATTATGGATAAAATTAATATTTAAGGCTCTTATACTAGGTAAACCAGTGTTTATGCACTTGGATAAAAGGAGAGCAAATTGATGCTCTGGATGAGAAAACTGAATATTTTCTGTGCAATTAGTCATTAGATCTTTATTACTCTGATCCATGCCTCTTGCAATCTGTGCACACTATTCTTCAGCTTAAATTTACACTTCAGTGAGAAAGTTTGTACTACCTCAATTTCATATTGCTTTGTATATTTCATATTGGATGATGCCTCTTGTCTAACAGTATTTGTATAATACAAATACGTATTTTCCTTCTGCTTTAACCTCTTACTTGTTATTGTTGAATGCCAAACTGGCAAGTAAGTAAAGAAACTCTTATCCAGTATTATGTATGCATTATTTCTAAATACTTCTATTACTCATATGAAGTATATTTGCAGTATTTTGCTACCTGGAATTTGCTGTATACAAAAGGTGTATCCATTTGAAGGTTTTCTTCATGTATATGTCGTCTTGCTAATTAAGAATTAGCAATCCAATAACTTGTCTTGCTTTTCCAACAGCCTTCATGAAGAGATTGTGGATTTCTACCACTTCATGTCCCCACGTCCTGGAGAAGCAGCTATGCGTAAAGACGTGGTGAACAGAATAGAGAGAGTTATAAAGGATCTATGGCCCACTGCTGATGTAAGTAGAAAAAGTTGCAGCAGGCAAGCACAGGACGGGTTCAGTAGTTTAAAACAACATGTCACTACAGTGTGATGGGGAATGAGCATTTGTATTCTGTCGGAGTCCTGATCAGCTTTAGAATCTCCCTGAACATCAGTTATGAGAATAGAACATACAATAAACCCTGAGATTGTTTGACTATTTGGTGTGTAACAGTACAAAAGATACCCTTGTGTTGGGAGGGGGAAGGCCCAGGGTATTTTCACTGTCAGAACCTCAGTACTGCATATTTCAGTCAAAAGGGGCAGATTTATAGTTTCATTTATTTCAAAAGTAAATATTAGTACATATTTTATCACATCTATGAGCTATTAGGTAAAGGTAGTGGACATAATGGAAACACCTGAGTAAACGGGGTAAAAAATACATTGAAAGCCAGGCTTTCCACATAGATTTGGCATAAACGTTAATTAAACCGATAACATCCCAGCATGCCTAGGGTCATGTATAAAAATGCTGGATAGCCCTGGTTGCCTGTAACTGTGGCTAGCAGGACTACCGGAGTAGACCTTGGTGACTTTGAAAGAGGGCTGATTGTTGGGGTGCATTTGTCAGGAATTTCAGTGGCCCAGACAGCTGAACTTTCTGATGTTTCATGAGTAACTGTGCCTAAAATGGCTTGGAAAGACCTCATCAGCAAAGGGCAACAGTGAGTGGAAATGCATATTCTAGACTTGTGATAGTCATGTATAAATGAAAAGGGAGTAATGGGAGAATTTTAACTTGTGACTGAGCACATTATTAATAGAATGCCTTTTTTCTCGTTTTCTTTAACGAGTACACAATCTTCCGTTCAATTCGCCCAACATCTTTCTTTTAAAATATGGCTATACAGTGTAAGGTTTCATACAGACTTAGTACACTCAATACTATCTCATTAAGCTTTAGAATATTACTTTTCAGAGATAATATTGAAAATTTCTATATGCTTAGGTTTCTTCCATTTTCTGTAATCGCTGCATTTATATTCGTGGTTTCAGTTTGGCCCTGAACTAAGGCTGTAGGTGCCAGACAGTTTCTGTATAATTGTGTGGTGCCAGTACCTCATTGCTGAAATTGGAGGTGCTGCTTTTAATAAGTGTTAGTTGGCTTTTGCTGAATACCTTCAGAGTGTTTGAGAAGGGAGGGGAAATGGCGGTGAAACATTGGAAAATTCAGGATCTTTGCCCCCTTGCGTCATGCTAAATAATAAATGCATGATTTGTGCCTGGGAAGCTCCCATAATATTGTATTTCAGCAGATATTGTTTTCTTAAATTCAATTCCACTCTTGAAATATGCACTGTCTTTCCTTTTCAGGTTCAGATTTTTGGCAGCTTTAGTACAGGACTTTATCTCCCAACAAGGTATGATGTAGCAATTGCATAAAATCGTCTGCATTTTGGATTTTCTTTGTATTGAGTTGACTGACCTGTTTGTGTACTGTAGGTAAATGTGCTTTTGTAGTGTGACCTGGGCTATTGGACGTTTTAAATTATTCCTACATTTATGGTGTTTTTGAAAAATGGGAAATGTATAAGGAAACTTTTTTCTGTTATTGCAGTGACATAGACTTAGTGGTCTTTGGGAAATGGACACGTCCCCCTCTACAGCAGCTGGAACAAGCACTACGGAAACACAATGTGGCTGAGCCTTACTCTATTAAAGTACTTGACAAAGCTACGGTAAGTTAGTGCAGTTATTTTTTACTTCCATGTGTACCAAAAACTTCATGCCACATTTTTGGTAGTGGATTTTGGCATAATGTTGAATTGAAATCTTTGGAGGGATTTACATTATAACATAAAAATTACAATGAAGCTTTTTGGTCCATCAGGCCCAACTTAATTTTTAAAAAGCCATACAGAATCATTTGTAATCAGGAAGCTATTTTTCTTTTTTTTTATAAAACTAGGGAGGTTGTAAGCTCAACCATTCCTGTCTGTTCTCTGTTGAATAAATGACAGTGTAACCAACTATTATTGTTTTTTTTCCCCCACAAAGAAATGCCCATAGCCTATGTATCAATACTAAGTAGCACTAGTCAAGACACAAGTTATCTGTCCTAAGCACCCCAAGAGTACGATCATTTTACCACTGGTCCTAAAACAATTGCTTTGTATTTTATTTCCATTTGAATAAAGGTAACTAAGGATTGAATGATTATCCTTGCATTTGCACAATTTGTTTTGTTCCTCTTTCTGCTTCCATTTTGTACATCTTTCTGCTGTTTGATATTTTAAATGACAGAGGGAAAAAAAGCCTTAAAACATTTTTCTGTTCTTCAGGTACCAATAATAAAACTCACCGACCAAGAGACTGAAGTTAAAGTGGACATCAGTTTCAACGTAGAAACTGGTGTGAAAGCAGCGTGGCTTATAAAGGAATATGTTAAGGTTTGTTTTTATTTCAATTATCCATGCATTGGCTTTTCATTTGCCTTCTGGCTTTCTTGTGTTGTTTGACTTCAACTCCAATCAACTAAAATTTGAATATTACAACTTTTCTGATCTCTTTTGACCCATCTTACCTCAGGACTAAGATCCGTGAGATTTCTAAATTGCGGTTAGGGAAACAACCTGTTAGGTAAGCTAAAATGTTTTGTAGGTCTGAATTACATCTAGACATATAGCTTAATTCTAGATTACTTTTTGTCCTCTGTAAGATAAATGATGAATAGGGGTTAATTGTGGCTAGAGGCACATGTAGTGGTAATAGCAGTGAAATTGTTCTTTCAAATTGTTATAGATGTTTTTTCCCCTGTCCGACTTGCTGTAGTAGTTTTTATGGTAGATTTGGAGATGCAGGTGTGATCCTAGATAATACAAAACCGGGTACAAAAATGCTAGTAGCCTCATGTTTAATGTATACTTTTTTCCATACCATGTGGTATCCTTTTTAAACCATTTTAATTTGTGTAGTGCCTGGATCTTAGTTATTTTACTTAAATATTAAGAATGACCTTCCTTTTTAGAAACAGATGAAAGAAAAAGGTGTCAAAACTGAATTGCATATTAAAATAATGTGCCATAGTAACTTTAGAATTTTTCATCTTGTTAATGAAATTACATCTTATCGTTATTTAAGAGTAAGATATTTCAGGCAGATTGTAGAAAATTATTGTGACTAGAAATTAGCTTCACCTTCAGGGTTTGATGGATATGTAAATTAAGAAATTCCTTATTTTACAGCTATGGTACTAATAGCTAATTCATTAATAAAGTAAATGTAGGTGTTTATAGTCCCTATGTAGGGAAAATATTTGGAACAGCTGGTATTTTCTTGGTTGAAATTTCATAATTCTCTTGTTTCTGCAGGTAAAAATCCCAAATATGAATGTTTTATTCTAATTTAACTTTTTAAGCAGTTTAACAAAAGTGAGTAAGTGATATTTAGTTATTTGAGTAAATGACATGTTTTGCTTTACTTTCTTTCAGAAATATACTGTGCTTCCTTACTTGATTTTTGTGTTGAAGCAGTTTCTTCTTCAGAGGGATTTAAATGAGGTGTTCACGGGTGGTATTAGTTCTTATAGCCTCATTTTAATGGCCATCAGCTTTTTGCAGGTAAGGGATGTTAATGGAGTGTTTTATCAATGTTTCCTAAACCTGCATGTTTAAATTTTTAATGTGATTCTAGGCTATTAATTACATTGGTCTTAAGTGCTTCTTAATTTCTTAAATGTTTATAAATACAGGATTATATAGGTATTACTTTATGAGCAACTTTCATTTGTATAGTTAACTATTAAATGCCCTGTTATGTAAAAAATAAAATGTCGAACATACAGATTATTCTGTTGTGCATAAGCCAAAACATGTAGTTCTACAGCTTAAAATTTTAAAAGCATGATTTTCTGTAAAGATTCCTAAGTGGTTTATTTGATGAAAGCAGTAGAGTTGCAGGCATTTAGCTCATTGCTTCAAATGTGGGGTATGATGCTAGCTATATCATTGCAGTGACCTGTGCACCAGGCCTCCAGGAGCATATGTACAAAGAATTGTGTTCCTGGGGTTGGGTGCCCTGTTACTGTCTAGGAAATTCTAGACTGCAAAGCTTTTATGCAACCCCTGCTGTCGTTAAGGTGTCTCAGTTTGACAGCACTGCAGAAAGAGCTGTGCTATTGTTCGGCCAGTAGAATTGCTTGCTCCGAGCATAATGGGTTAAATACTAAAAGCCACATGTTGCTGGTTATTGCTAGATGGCTGCATCCGGGAGTCTGTTTCATTGCAATGTTAGCTCAGTGCTGCATGGATTGGGTGGGCTTGAATTGGTGAGGGTGTGCTGTGCAACAGTAATTATTAGGACTTGCAGAGCGCACCTGCGATGCATATTTTTATCTTAAACGGCTCTACTAAGTGGGCATGTCAGAGGCATACATGCCTAGCTTCTCATTTCACTCGTTGGTACAGTGATTATAAATTTTAAGTGCCTTACGAGTAATAAATGTTGGTAATTTCTCATAAATATCCTAGTGTCCTCACGAAGGAAAGGGGTGGCATCTTGCTGTACTAGTCAGGAGTAAATTGCAGGTTGTTACTTTCCAGCTGCAGCCTTTTCCAATTCTCCTAGGTGGTCTTTACCAGAATGATTAAGAAGGTTTATCTCCCGCACTTCTGTATACATCAATTTTCACTTATTAAAATGTATTGGATAAATTCAAGTTTTCTCTTTATTTTTGTAGTTGCACCCAAGAATCGATGCCAGGGGACCCAATGTAAATCTGGGCATTCTTCTAATTGAATTCTTTGAGCTTTACGGAAGGCATTTTAACTACTTCAAAACTGGTATTCGGATAAAAAATGGAGGTGCTTATGTTGCCAAAGAAGAAATCATGAAAGCCATGACAAATGGTTATAGGCCGTCAATGTTATGCATTGAAGATCCCCTCTTGCCAGGTAACTATGTGAAAAGAACAGCTTATTCAAACATTAACACTTTGAAAGGGGTCATTAGGACTGGTGGTGGGTTTTTTTTTTTGGAAAGTCAAGACTGCAAAAGAGGGCCATCAGAACACTGACTCTAATGAACCACTTTTTCCACACCTGAAGAAGGCTCCATGTCCAAAACGTTGTTTTCTTTCTTCTCTTTTCAGCATGGAATAAACCTATTACTCGTTCCTTTGCAGCCTACGCATGCTGACAGAGCTACCCACCTGAACCATTTTTATAAAAGTTTTTGTGGTGCACTCTTGCTGTGATCGATGGAACTTTCTTTTACATAATTTTATATTGCATATCTAGCTCTTATATTAGGATAAGGAGTGCGACAGGCCTGTTGCATTATTTGTATACATATTTTACATATCTTAATTTTGCTATTAACCTGAATTAGAAGTTGGTAATACTAAGAATGTGTTTTTAAGGTATTAGACATCTGAAGTCTTCAGATTGTCTAATAATTTGAAATGTATTTATGATCATAAAATGAGCAGATTTTCTTATGCAAGAAAAGACTAGTTTTTATATACTTGAATGTTTCTTATCCAACAGTGAAGAAATGGATAGCTAAACAAATGATTACAAATCTGGCTGGGTCCAAGCCATGTTTATTTACCACTGTCTGTTCCATCTCGGTGTTGTCTTTTTGTTCTGTAATTATTAAATACTTTGCCTATAAATTCACCATGTTAATTTCATGTCTGTCATTTACCTTTACCCACCCTGGGTTCTTTATTGCTTATTTCAGAAAGAGATTGTTACAAAATCTACACTTTTGGTTTTGTGTAAGCAAATAATTTTTTCAGATCCCCATGTATTCTATTACTGAATATCCCATTCACTCATTGTGGATCTTTTTTTTTTTTTTTAGGAAATGATGTAGGCAGGAGTTCCTATGGTGCCATGCAAGTGAAACAAGTCTTTGACTATGCTTACATTGTCCTAAGCCATGCTGTATCTCCTCTTGCAAGATCATATCCCAACAAAGACTCCGAGAGGTAAGCAAAGTTTGAGTTCTGTTGCTTGAGACAGTTTCAGTAGTAATTTCACCTCGGGTTATCTTCGATTGAAACATACATTGTCACTAACTCAGGATAGAAATGTCTAAAACGGATTTGAAGTATCTTAAGTTGAGAGGTTGTGGTCTCTGAAACATAATTGAACAGCTGTTTTTTCCTGTTTAAATTGACAAGGGTACTGGATGTAAAAACTGACATTTTAATTTTGCATTTTTGCAGCACTTTAGGTCGTATTATTAAAGTCACCCAGGAAGTCATTGATTATAGGGAATGGATCATAAAGAAGTGGGGAGGGAAGAACTGCACTAAGACCGACAGTGGTGGTAAGCATTCTCTTAAGACTTTCAGCTTTGGGTTTGGTTGTCAGGAATTTTATTAGTATTAATGTAATATTTTACATTTGCAGCAAATAACTTTCATACATTAGCTTATTTCTTAGTTCTTCTAAATCTTTTAACAGCAGTCTCCAGTGACCATAACTGGTCATAGTAGAAAGTACTGCATCCACAAGAAAATGCTGCCAATATTCTTTCAGGTTTTGTGAATATTTTCAAATTATTTTAACATGTACGTTTTAGAATATACAACATCTTACTGGGGTAGACATTAACTGCTTGGTGAGTGGTTGTTCAGTTTCTGGCTTACTCATGTTCTGGTTTATTTCAAATGTGTTTCACCATGGATATATTAAATCATAAAAATACGGCATCAGTGCTTAGTCTTAGTACAATTATAGTAGCTCTGGGATTTAACTCATGGGCATTGGAGTTTAATACTAGATGTTTTTGTGGTATTTGTACTGACACTTTCCAGTAACTCAAATGTTTAATTGTAGTTTTGAGGCTTTTATGTATACATATTTCGTCGTAATAAAGATCTTAGCACCATTTTTGTCCAGCTCTGGTTTAATTCCAAATCTAGGCGCAATGCATGGAGTGTAGTGAATAATTAGTGACAAATTCTAAAAATGCAGCTTTAAAAGTAGCTGCAAATATTCACATCATACTGTAGCTCTGCATAAGTTAGTATGAAAATGCAGTAACACTGAAGACTGGAAACAAGTGGAGACAAAGTTAGAAACAGAGTGCCCTAAAAAGGAAGCCAGATCTTGCAGCAAGCTAATACTTATAGCTAATACTGTAGTGCTCCATATTTTGAAAGAATTCTAAGCCAGAAATCTGATGATGAAATTATACGAGTCGCACAAAAGAATATGCTGCGTTGGGTAGAATGTGACAGTTGATATAAGAGACCTGATATGAAAGTGTGTTCTGAAAAGGTCAGTAATGACCGCTCCTTGTGGTAGGATTCTGTAACGTTTTTTCTATTCAGGATAAGGGAGTTTTATTTTGAGAATGGAACCCTAGAGGACTGGAGCATTAAAACCATATGCTGTTACTTTTAAGTAGATACAGTAGTGGTTGTATATGCTTGCATTAAAGTAAATGTCATGCTTGCAGTCCTCAGTTGTAATGATCACATAGTTTAGATGTTTATTTAAATATTGGCACAAGTGTAGCCGTCGTAACCATTAGGAAGTCGAACCCATTATGTAATGTGTGCTTTTACAATTTGAAAGTTTATAATTTGGCACTATACATCATAATCTAAAGTTTGTGAATCCTTTCTTTGGATGTCTGTTGAAACTGCAAACCAGTTGGATCGTCTACGGATAGTAGACAAAAATGGAAATGCCTAACTAAATGAGGGACATCAAATACATTGATAGCAAGTGCTTTTATGCAGCTGTGTCTTATGTTAAGCAGATATGATCCCAGCATGTTTATAGTCATGCTGAAAAAAGCTGGTTGCTTGGCTGCCTACAATAATGACTAGCATGGCCGCTGAAAGAGGTAGTTTTTGTTGGGGTCCATTTGGCAGGAGCTTCAGTGACCAAGACTGCTCAACTTGTGGACTCCACATGAGCCGTAGTCTCTAAGGTGATTGCTGCCATCTTTTCCTCCAAGATCTTTGCAGACAAACACAACAGTGAGCAGGAATCCTCCAGGCTTGTGATATGCAGTTGTTTGCCTGCTTTGCCTTTCACTTCAAATGGGATATTTCAGTCTGGGGCACAAGCAGCCTGTTTTATCAAAAATGGTCTTCTGAGAAATCCATAGAGTGGGACACTGTAATTGGGTTGTAGCGTACAAAACCAATCCTCACACCAGGCAATATGTGTTTGAGAGTTCAGTGATGCTGAAAGGGTATAGACTCTGAGCACTGGAGAACTGCACTATTGTCAGATGAATTCTCCATCACCATGCTCTCAACAAATGGATTACTGCACATATGGTGCAAACAAGTCTGCAGGCCTTGGCTTTTGAAGTGAAGGGTTTTGGTATTTCCATAATGTTCGGGGGTGCGTTTTCTTGATGTGGTTTAGGTGCACAGATTGCATTAGAAGGCACGGCCGGTGCTAATCGCTACTTAATGATACTGAAGGATCATGTTCACCCCATGTTGCGGTCTTTCTTTCTGGTATCTTCCAGAATCACTGCTCCATATCAATGAGTATTTATTTGTGGTGGCCTAGTGGATTAATGAGCATGATGTTGAAGTTATCCATTTCTAGCAGCCTTCTCAGTCACCAAATCTGAACCCAATTAAACATTTATGGGACATTCTGGAATCACTTAAGAGACTGCATTGTCCACCTCTGTAAACAAGCATTGTGTTGAATGACTTGGCAGGCCATACTGGCTGTGTGTGATGGTCCAGTGACCTATTAAGCGACTTTACATGGGTATTTCCATCTTTGTCCACTAGTAAGACCATTGTACTGCAGGTTTGAAAATCAGGAGATACAGTAGGTGGGTAATACCCTTATTCCCCCCACTTAATGACGTGGAACAATTATGCACCATTTAGAGACTGTTTGCTGCATATGTAATATTGGTTGTAACAATCCTGGCAAATGCTTGAAACAGAGAATGTGAATACAATTCATTGTAACTGACCTTTTTTCACTCTTTAGATTCCAGGATACAAGGCACAGAGCAGAAAGAGCACAGTAGTATGGCTCGGAATGCCGAGCAGCAGCGAGACTTAGTTTCCCCACAAAGCGTGGACTCGCCCATGTCTCTCTCCAGCCCCCATCAGCACTCTTCCGGCTCTTCTGCATCCTCCATCTCCTCCCTCTCGGGAAGTGATATCGTAAGTTTTTGTTTCTAAAGAGACCCTGGTTAATCACCACAAGTATTTTATTCGTTTGTTTTAACCACCACAGGTATTTAAAGTACATTTAATTATGGAATGTCTGAATATCTTTTAAAAGCAGTGTCCGGGGTGCCACTTTTGAAATTGCACTTACGGGAAAAAAACTACATTCGATATGGTTCAGGCATTATACTTATAAGGCCTCGCCTCTCCACATAGATGGCTGCCTAGATGTGCCTGCTCCTGAAAACCTAGACATTCTTGCTTTATCTTGTATTTAAACAGCAGCTGTATAAAGGAGGAAAATATTTTTGTTCGGTTTTGTGCTGTTTGTGGTATGACTGTCCAATTTCCATGTTTTTACAGTATATTTTAGCAATGTCAGTGTAAATAAGAGCTTCTCCAAAGAAAGTAAGAGTTTGAACTTTGCTGTAAAAGTGGAAATGGCTTTGTGAAGCATACAGTGTAGGATGAAGGTTTGCCTATCGTTGCAAATGTGACGGAGCAGGAGCTGGGATAGGCAATTTCTTTTATCCCAGTAGCCTCCTGCTCTGCTCAGTCTTCTAACCTTGTAAACAATGGAAAAATGTAACTTGTTTTTGAACAATGGAAATATGTTACTATTATCCAAAGAACTGCTTAATTGTTACAAGTCGTGGTTTACTCTGCTGTATTATGGTACATTCTTGTGGTCTACCGTTATCCATTGTAGGGGCTAATAAGTCTTAATTCTGTTTTTAGGGTGAATTGTTATGGATTATATATAGATTATAAATATTTTTTAAAGCTTAATGAGCTTTGAAATCTTCTATTATGATAATCCACAATGGCTGTCAGAGGAGCTATATTCTATTTGGTTTAATGTTAAATTCTTTATATTGAATAAATAAAGACAATTGTTTTGTTAGAAAATTAAAACTCTTTTGTTTGGATGTTTGTTCAAGAAAAGCTTAAGATACCCTTTGGTATGTGAAAATCAGTCCCCGTACTTCCAGGCTGTATATCTTGCATGTACTAGGTGTATCTTTTCACAAACAAAATTACTCCAAAATCAGAGTTTCAGGGAATAAAAGTATGTCCAGTTTATCGGTATTTAACATGTAGGTAAGATTTCTTTTTGGACAGTTTTAAAATTTATGGAAGTGGATAATTCTTATTTTAATAGATTGTGTAAAAATGAAATATTGCCTAATAGTCATTTAGTGCAAAGGATGTATTTTGAAGGGTGTTTGCGCTAACCAAATTAGCAGCAAACAGTTTATAATGTACTTGAGGATCTGTTGGTGGTGCATGGTTAGCTATACTTCAAAAGATTTAAATACACATTTGAAATAAGATTAATATTAACATGCAATGTAAAAGGCAACACGTACTCCACATTTTTAGCGCAGACTAGTTAATTTGCTTTTCTCCAACATCTCTCCTTACTCTTTCGAAGTGACAAATTGTGATTGAATTCAGGATTTAGTGTATGGGTCCGGATTATCTAGGTCCCTGGCCACCCTGTGGCTCCTAAGCAAGAGTCGCCTTTTTAAAAAAACAACTGCAACAATGAACTTCGTCAGACAGTAAAAGATGCCAGGCGGCTCGATACATTTCCTAAAATACTTCACCTTGCATTGCAGCTGCGTTCACAATTGGGCGTGCAAGTGATTGGTCAGCGTAAACTACACCCTGCCTATTCTGCAGCTTTTTCCTCCCTTTTTAAAAAAAAAAACCCAGTAATGAGCTCAGTGCATCTTGTTTGGTTGCTGTAATCCGAGACTTGCATACATCTTCATGAAGAAGGTGGAGCATGCCATAGCTGTATCATTTTACAGTGCTGTACGAAAACCGTTCTGAGATGTCAGTTGCACTAGTGAAATTGACATACCATACAATAGTGCCTCATTTACTACAGTTTGTACCATGGATTTTCCACTTGACCTATTGTAAATGGTACCAAATGTAAAATTGGGCTTCAATATGTCAGTAGGTGAAACTTTTGTTATTAAATGTCATGTGAGAATTTTCCGGTAGGTAAAATGGTCAGCACATGGGTATAGGCAGTGAAAGGTCAACTGTTTATGCCTTGAGGTTATGTTGCACTTATCGGTTGGTGAGCAACGCTAAGGACAATGACATTAGTTTAATATAGTGCTGCATCAGGTAATGTTTTAATTCTGTATTGTGGATTTTTTTTTTCCCATAACAGTCTACTACTGTATAAATGTTTATTTGTAATTTTTCCCTGCATTTATTAAAATTGGTGCATGAAATTGGTCATTTAATGAGAAAGTAGACTTGAGGTAATGTTAATGAATTAACTAGTTATCGCACAGAAACTTACATTAAAAATAAGGTTGTATGAAAGCTGGATCACTTGAGTCTTTGAATGCAACAGATATGGTTTATGACTGCTCTGTGCACCACACAAAGCCATTAGATGTTCTGATCCTAGCTACTGATGTCCAAAACATTAAAGCAGGCAAAGTATGACTTATCAGGGGCTCATTTTTTTTTAGAATCATTCAGATACGTTTGACTATTTGCCGGTATGACTTAGAATTGTGAACATTCAGTTCTTTAAAAAATATATATATATTTTGGTAACATTTTTTTCATACTTTGAAGGAATGGTTTTCCCGAGGTTCTTATAAATTGCAAATGTAAGTATTTTGCTTTCGTCTTTTTCTTAAAGGACTCCGATTCAACTCCCTGTTCAGCGGCAAACATTCCCCCATTTCCCATCCATGCACTAACGCTGTCTACACTCGGACCTGCATTACAGTTGCCAAATGGGAAGCCAAACCTAACTGGAGCTTTGATAATGTCTTCTGGCTCCCAGGTAAGTGCTTCTTATCTGGCTTAGCTATCCATCTACCTCATTAAGGAAAAACATCTGCCTTCCCTTTTCTTTCTTTTCCCGTAGTTCTCCGAGCTGACCTAGTCAGCTCTGGTAGCTTTTGTCACGGCAGTTTTCCATACTGAATTTAAATGGAGGAAGTGTCCGTCTTGGGGTGGTGAAAGAAATGAGAAAGCTTTATAAGTTGCATGGAGGATGTAAAAATTCATGAAGCGATGACAGTGATCTCTTTTGTTGATTTTAAGGAGTGATTGACAGTGTCATGGAATGGTTTTGATTTCAAGGTTGGCGGTTTCCAAATCGTTGTGACAAGGCAATATTCAGGATGGAAATAAAACCCAAGTCAAACAGCAGATGAAAATTGTGCATGTGTAAAAAAAAGTATCAGTGTTTAAACAAGTATTTGTAAACTTAACGTTTTAAATTTCAGCAGGCCTCGTATCTAACCATTTTCAATCATGCTATTTGTGTCTTCATTTTTGACTTCACGCATTGAATGCCAGATGGACCACTTTAATCCTAAAGTTTAATCAAGTTAAGGGTCTTTTCTTTACCACCAAATATTCCTTTTGGAAAAGGAAGTGCTTGCTGTTAAATGTTGGAAACAGTCAGGGTTTCTATTCCTTGGCAGACATGGATTGGGCCATGTTTTTCACATGACAGATTCAAAATCGTCTGTAGGCTGAACTCGACCTGGTGTTCTTTTGTGTAGTAAGTGGTGCACAGCCACAGAATACTGTTCAATAACGATTGCAGTTGGGGAAACACTGGCTGTGACCTCAGCTAACTTTGTATAACGATCGTAGGGCAATTGACATTGTTGGACAATTTAGCTGGTCAATTCATTTGTAAAATTTCCATATACATGATTTTTCACAGGACCCAAATTGTTAAAAGGTTCCCTTACTTTTGGAAGCAGAGAAATTCTTTGTGACTTATGGTGTAAAGGTATAGCCACCTCTGACTGTTTTATTATTTTGCTGCAGGTTTGCATAAAGTCTTGGATACGAAACTCCAATGACAAACTTGTCAAATCAAATTTTACATGCTAAAGATGTTTTTTTTTTAGCCTAACTGTTTTTAAAAAATTCTTTAAAAGGTATAATTTCTATTTTGTCAGAATAAATTCAGATTAGTGTATCCCTGTAAACCTTTTGGTGGGTTATTTTTTTCTCTGCAAATAGCATGAATTTGCAGCCAGATATCTTTTAAGTTTAACAGACGCAACATGGTGCTTTCTTATTTTATGTGAATTCAGCAGTTTTAACTCAAGCGGAGAGGGATTGCAAAACGCAAAAGTATGACGCTTAAAATCATTAATAAATCAGAGAATCATGCTGCAGTAAAAAATGACTTTTTAAAAAATTGCTTAACTGTATAACAAAAATGTAATTAAAATTGGCACATTTGTAGTCTAAAAAAAGCATAGATCACATCACATTACATGAATACAAGACACATGGGCAAGACTAATGTACAAAACTGGACAATATTTTAGTAGCCCTGGTACACAAATCTGGAGTTTTGTAAAAAATGAAACACACATACACACTGTGGTGGAATAACCACAAGAAGATTGTTAAAGTTAAAAGGTATGATATTTCAAAATGGACTAAGAATTAAAATTCCACCAGGCTGGAACATTGTATGCTGTATGGGCTTTTTAGTTCTTGCTCCCTTATAGATGTGACATTGAAATCCATGGTTTCCATCATAAAAAAAAAAAACCGAATAGTTTAGAGTGCCAGGATTTTTTTTATGATTTAGTGCTGCATGACCCTATGTGATTTATTACGTTATTTTTCAATTTTTAAATCCCAACTTGTCTATCCACATACCCAGATATAAGCTTTCAATTAAGCAAGTAAAATACTGGAACTTAGTTATTTTTAAATGTGCACAGGGTGTGCTAAAACTTAACCGTTTGACCGACTCCTTTTCATTGCTGTTGGCAGAAGCCCTGAGCTCTTTCTCCCTGTTCTCTTTCAAGGCTAGGCTATCCCTTTCTGGAAACCTAGGTGTTCCTTCACTACCTGGCAGACAGGTTTGTATAGAAGGGACAACTCCTTTGAATGCTGTCCTACACATGCCCCCTCCTGTTGTTCCCCCTGCCTCCCCCAGCCCTCTGCCAAGCCCCCACCTGCATCACAAGGTAGGCGCCTGCACACTTCAGGTTGTCAAAACGCTAATACATTTTCCACCTTTTTGTTCCGTGGTCCTTGTATTTGAATCACCAGATTTGTATATACAGAATTATAGAACTTGTCTCAATGCTAATGTTTTTCTTTCTTGTGGAAATTATTTTCAAAACATATTTAAAATATGAAATAGTTTTTACCCAATGTCAGACATTACAACCCAATGTTGTAAAAGCTCTCCATATTTGAGTGAGCACGATAAATTGTACTTGCTATTTTTAAGTACAGAAATGTCAAAATTATACATTTTTCTTGGATAGAAATGTCTCCATTTGTTCCCTTAAGACCGAGTATTTGCTATTAAATGGAAAAAACGTTAAAGCAATAAAAAGTTTACACCATTATTATGGGGGAAGTGCATAGTAAATGTACTTTGATTCAGAATGGAGTATTTTTGATTAATGTAAAATCTTTTTGAGTTTTCCCACTAAGGAAGTTTGTTCAGAATTGTGTAGGGCATACGAAGAGAAAGTTCCAGCAAATGTGGTTATCGCTTGTTTCATACCATACAGGTATCACACTGTACCTTATTCCCTTCTTTAGATGCAAAGTGGGCCAAAGTATTCCATGAAGGGACTCCATAATCCAGGTGCTGTCCACAACCCAATGGTGGGCATGAAACAGCCTATTAACAACAGGGGACATGCTCAATACAACCGCAACACCTGGCGCAGGAGGAAGCACACGAGGGATATTGTACCAGTCAGCCTTAGTAGATAAGATCGCTTCCGTCTTGAAGCTGGAGTTTTTACAAATGCCACAAAGAGGAGTAAGACCAGCATTCAATACTTCACACTGTAGGTAGCCCTACGTACCTGCAGTTGATTCTTTGCATGTTTCCTGCACAGTGGTCAGAAATCCACCTTGCAGATAATATTGTTCAGTGCTGAATCTGTGAAGACTTGTTCAGATGTAAATGTTTTGTTCTTTGTTCAGTGTTACTTTTTTACTTTTTATTTCCCCTGCTCCATTTTGTTTTTTGGCCTTGTGAGGATTCACCATCTGATGCTGGAAGTGGCTCTATTCAGTGACTTGCTGCAGCTTGGAGAAGAAAATATTTTCTCTGGCTTACATGCGTGCAAAAGCATTGGCAAGTTGATGACCAGCCATTTTTGTCTTTCAGCGATGGACTGGCCCAGACTACACTACAAGGCAGAGCTGCCTCCTTTTTCATAGTCATAGTACTCATTTTACAATGTACAAAAGGAACAAATTGTTTATCATTTGTGCAATAACTGTTTTTTGGTTTCAAAAAATGGTTTTATTTAATTTTGTTATATGGATATGTCAGGTGTTTAAGTTATATTTTGGGGTTTTTTTGTTCTACAAGTTTACAGATCCTTTCCTGGATTGTGGTCTTTGCAGGTCTGATGTTTTAAAAACAGCAGTTTATAGTTGCAAACTGTAACAAGAGGACTCCCCTTTTAATGATGTGCAAAGCAGGGCAAGAAACGGGAATTGAAAATAGGCTAGCCAGAGACTTTCTTCACTTCTTGGAGCTGTTGTGAAAGGAGTAGTCAACAGGTCCATTAACTGGAAATGTCCTTAGTCCTGTTTTTACTAAAAGCCCCCTTTTGGTGTCTGTTTTTAATCTTTTTTTTGTTTGGGTTACAATGTACCTGTTCAGCGCTAAAGCATATATGATTAGTGTTAAATCCACATCTGATGGTTATTCCAGTTGGGAATCTCCCATTTAGCCATCCCAGGCCACTGTTCTCATTCCGTGAAATGATCCTCAAATGTTTTGGAACTACACTAATCTGTGTGCTTCTAGCCCAGAGAGAATATAGCCTCTAGCAGCGTGGTTTTGTCAAAAGGAATGACCAGAGCTCATTTTGAAGAATGTTTTTCAAGAGTATGGCAATGACCGAGGGTCGGGCGATCAGTTGTTTTCTGAGGAAAAGGGGAGTCAAATGAAGGTACAGTGTATTAGGAATAGATTTAAATCAGTGTTAATTTATGTAACCTGTGTTTATGCAAGGTGCCCCTAAAAGCATTTGCTCCAAGGGTGCCCAGTCAACAGAATGTGGCGAAAGGAATTATTTTGATTCCATTCTGGAATCTGTATAGCAGTATGTATTCGTTCTGTTAAGAGCAACACATTCAAATCAAATATTAACAAGTACTTCCATTTGCTGGATGCATTGCCTGAAGTATTTTTTACAGTATTGCATCGTGGTGCAGCAAGTATATGGCGCACAAACTGTATTGCTGTCACTTTAAGGTTACTGATGCATACAGGTATACTATGCAAGTGGAATTTTTTTTTCATGACGACCACTGCTTGTTACCTTTTTGAACTACAGAAATAGTACCCAAACCCTGAGTTTTAAAAGCACCATGGTTGTTCCAAGGAAATATTGACAGCGATACGATACCAGTATTATGTGTTCATTTAAAGTCACTTGTTTTTAAAATAAGGTTACTTATCCTCCCCCACTTCAGCCACTACCAGGGAATATACCTCCTAACAATGGTTGAAATGTACTGTACGATGTATATCTATAGATTTCAGAGGTGAGTGAGACTGCTGTTGATGAAAGCATAACTTTAAACTCCACTTAGCAGCCAAAAGCCAACTGCCTTTCTGTCATTTTTGTTATTACATTCCATTGTGGAGCTGTGGTAAACAGTGCTCTACAAAACCATTTGTCATGTAACCAGTGCTGAGAACTATGGAAAATCATAAGTGAATTAGACCGAGTAACAACTGGTATCAGTGCCGATGTATTCATTCTATATGGTTTTAAATAAGTAGACGCAAAACGCCTTACGTTTATGCGTTGATTCAGACTCAATTCTTAAATTTGGCTTTTGCTTTTCCTGTCTTTAAATATGACAGGCAGTTATATAGTATGCTTGTCATAAAATGTTACATTTGAGTCATGATTAAACCAAACAATCTGGTTGCCTGGCTACCACTGTGGTTATATCTTAACTGGTAACAGAAGGAAGTATCATTTTTTTTGGAGAAACATTTTTATGTAAAGTTTTTTTTCTATTCTTTTTTTAAATAAACTTCTTAAAACAAATACTTCTGGTTGTTTTGTTTTTAAGTGGGAACGGTCACCTTTCATTTCTGTCCTTTTTAACTTGGGTTAAATAGCTACATCAGTGCAATTGTACCATCTTAGAGGTTTTTTAGCTTTAGACTTTTAGCCACTTAGTCTTCACTAATGTATGATTTTTCAACCTGCAAGTGCTCTTTTTAAGCATGTCATTGTCTGTCACAAATGTGCACACTGTAGGCAGGTGAAATCTATGCTCACTTTTTTTTATGTGTAGCTTCAGAGTGTACTGGTCCTTATTCATTGGTTATTGCGTTTAAAATTCTGCTGCCATTTTTGCATAAGGAATTATGGTTTTTAGCTGTTTTTCCAAGCTTATGACATGGTTTCCTGCCTCAACCACTACATTTCTTCTGTGCATATTTCACATTTCTTCTGATTTAAAGTCAATTTTTCAAAATTCTAAATGTAAAGTGCAATAAAAGTTGAAATACTTGTTGAAGTACATAAACAATCATTATTTTGACGTTTGCGTTTTTAATTTTCTGTGTTTGGGTTATTAGTAACATTTTATATGAATTTGAATGAACCCCTTCTGTTTATATATAAAATATGCATAACTGATCAAAATTATGGTGATGCCTGAAAGTGTAGCATCAACACTGAGTTAGTCAGCATATGTGTATTGAAGTAGTTCAGGTGGGTAGCTGTGTCAGCATTCGTAGTAAAGATTTATTCCATGCTGAAAAGGGAAACATGCTTTGGCTGTGGAGCCTTCTTTGGGTGTAACCTATTACTTGTTCCTATTATATGTATTTTGTTTCAGAAACGGTATGTACATTTTACTGGTGTTTTCTTGGTTCCTTCCATGAAATTGTTGCTCTTTGTAATGCAGAATGTAATACAGTTTTAGGAAAACTTAAATATTAAGCAGAGGAAGATTTATCATAGGACTTTACAGCTTGTCTGGTTCACCTTGAATCAAGGGCTGTAAAATTGCATACCTGGTCAAGTTTTTAGCAAAAATGGAAATAATTTGGACTTTTTTTCCCCCAAACCTATCCATTTTCGAACTACTTTATCCAAGACAAGGTCCCAAGAAGTCGGAGCCTGTACCGACAAGCAAAGTGCACAAGACGGGATACACCCTGGGCGAGACAAGTCCATCAGGGCTATAGTTGTTTTGTCAAGGGAAACCAATGCATGTTGTAGACTTCAATAAGTCAAGACAATATCTAAACAAATGTGGCCATTAAAAGAAAAGAGTTAAAACGTCACTGTCAAAAATTTCCTGGCCAAAACTGAACTGACCATGCTGCAGTTGTCAAAGCCTAAAATAAGCTAAAGAAATTACAAATACATCTACTGTAAGAAATCTGCATCATTTTTCAGAATAACTACAAAGAAGATACAATCTTTTGGTCATACTGCTGTAGACATTTCAATTGAAGGCCATACAAGTACAATCCATGAGTAAAAAGTAATAAAAACAGAAATACACTTTTTTTTGTGTTTGTGGTATAAGAGATGAACCTTGAAGAGGCACCACAAGGTGGTTGGAGACAGTACTTTCAGGTTTGCGAGTCTGCAACAGAGGAATAAAGAAGAACAAGATGCAGGAAACTGAAAAAGGAGGTACTTCTAAGAGTCCTATAGACTGAATACAGTGGACAGAAGGGATATAAGGAGAGACCGAATTAGACAAATGAGTAATGAAGTCTGTAGCAGGTAAGGAAGAGAATCTTAAATACAGGCAGAAACATGAATAGATCATGAAATCAAAATACCTGTAAAAACCTTCCTACTGCAATGATAAAGTAATACAAGATCCATTAATTGGCCATATACAATTTCTTGTATTAAGAATTTGTCTTTTTCATATACTCCAACGTGCTCTCCATGAGACAGACACGGAGCTTGGGGTCAGAGCGCAGGGTCAGCCATTTATAATTTATACAAATTCCAGTTGTGCAAATTTTTAGTTTGCTTTTATTATTAAATGTCTGTAGTAAGGTAATGGAATTTATTTTCAAAAGAGATAATCAGACAGCGTTTAAGTTTTGTCCACAAGATGGTGCACTAATAAAAGCTTTCATTTTCTGAGATTTTCAAAATGATCATAAGATTTTGACAAATCTTTTTGTCTGTCAAGAGGTTTTGTTGAACTTTTCATGTATAGTTAAAAAATAGCAATCTTGGGTCTTATAGTAAGCCCTGCCTGTACTCATAAGAAGAGCTTCAATCTCAGTGTTTCCCATTTTATATTTATAGTTTGTTTTTACTGCTTGAATACAACACCCTTAATGATGTTTGGTTTTTCTTTTTCTTTTGCACATTCTACATTGTTGATCCTCCTAGTTTGGCATCATACAGTATAAGAAGTGACTAGTTTGATCATTGGCAAATGTTTGTGGTCTATGAGGTCATGTCAGGGCTTGCCCTTAACAGGCAAACTAGGCGATAGATGTTTAATCAATAAACAAGCCACATTTTCTAACTAGATACGTAGACTACTTGAGGTATTTTACTAGAAGTTAACAGATTCACGTTTCACATTACTTTCAATGTTAAAATACATTATCTTTGTATTATTTATGTTCTTTCTGGATCTTCCTTTCTAGATATATAATTAAATTAATTGTTCTAATTATTCAAATAAGTTTTGTTATTTGGGATGGGAGTTTATAATTCTTCACGCTTATATTGTGCTTTTTCTGTACACTCCATTTAAAGCGCTGTACAGGTTTACAGGGACTCATCTCCACCAGTGTGTAGCTCACCTGGATAATGCCATAGCGGACCAGTACGCTCACCACAGTGGGGAGGAGAACAGAGTGATGAAGCCAGATTAGAGTGGGGGGATTATTAGGAGGCCACGATGGGTAAAGGCCAATGGAAAATTTGGCCAGGATGCCGGGGTAACACCCCTATTCTTTTCAAGAAATATCCTGGGAATTTTAATGACAACAGACAGTCAGGACCTCGGTTTTACATCTTGTCCGAAGGACGGCTCCTTTTTCCAGTATAGTGTCCCCGTCAGTACATACAATAAAAGCAAAAAATAGTATAGTGAAAGTAGCTAGCAAAGTCACCAGTGCACACAGCTACAGCTGGCAGGCATACAAAACGATAGTGAGGAATAGTGACATAATCAATGACTGTCATGACCACCCCTTTCACAGTGAATCTGAGCTCCTTCCATCAGGGTGTCAATTCAAACTACCCAGATTTCAGTGCAATAGAACAAATAGACTAAGTTATCCTTTGTCTGGCTATTAACCTACTTGATTTGGATAACTAATTGTATACTTTTTTCCATCATTAATGTATGTTATGTATCTATCTCCCACTCAATTTGTTTTTTTCTTTTAAAATATGAAGATCGCATAAGCTACTTACCTGTTTTTCTCGTCATATGCATGTATTTGTTTCTTATTTGGAAACAGGTTCATATTGCATTAAATGTATTGTTTTGTGTCTTGTACCTGCTTGTAATGCAAATTTCCCTCCTGGGACAATAAGATAAGTATATACCGGTATTCAGAAATAGCAAACTTGAGTTTCTCCACAGCAGCTTGACTTACCTCGACCGGAGTCAGCTTCGTGCCTTAAAGTTTAAAAGCTCAATGCTAACAAGGAGGCGATGTAGGAAAATGAACTGTAATAAATGGGATACCAAATAGGAGTAGAAAGAGGTTGATTTTAAATACAGAGGTTGTATTTGGTGGACAAACTCAAAAAAAAAATTGACTCAAAATATTTTGAATAATTTGCATTTTAATGTAAAATATTACATTACAACAATATTTGACAAATTATTTGATAGATTTGTCAGAATCATACTAATTAAAAAATCAATCTTAGTCATCAAACAGTACCAAAAACGCTGCTTAATGTTTAAATACAACATTGTAGATGCTGAAGGCCCTATTCCTTTTAAGATTATAAGATACTGTGAAGCATCTATTTATGGGCATGAAGGGATAAGTGCACATACGGTTAAAGATTCATGAGTTTTGTACTTTTCTGAATGCTGCCAAAGTGCTTTCTTGTAAAATGTTTGCCAAAATATGGCATTATATTAAATACATTTTATATTGAGGGGACTTTAACAAATGGCGAGAGTTCATGAACACAACTACTTGTAGGAAGTAAATGAACATCTTATTTGTTTTATTCATGTTATTATTCTATTAAATGTCAGACAAAGTTGACATAAAATTGAATATGGCAAAAGGTAAATCTTAAAGTTGACATTTTCTATACATTTATCAGGTATTCCATTGATTATTAATGACCTAATTATTGTAATCGTGCTTACTATACTTTGAACATTATTCAATTGCTAGATAAAACTATAAGATCTTTTATAGAGCAGACATCAGAGGCTCTTCTGTAGAAAACAGTTGCAAAAAAGTAAGGTTTATATTTTCACTGTGATTCTCAAATGGTGCAAAAAATACTCTTGGATATCCATCGTCCATTATATTGGGCACTTTGTGTTACAGGGGTCTCCTGACCGAAAGAAATTATACACACTGACGAGAGGAAACATGGTCAGAGCACCAAGCATGGAGCCCAGCTGCACCACAGCCCCACACCACACAAGGGCACTGTGGCCTTCATCACGTAGGATCACCCCTATCATCACCTTCACATAGGACAGAGTGAGGACAAGAAGCACCCAGGCAATGACCTAGACCAGAAACAAAATGGTAGAGTATTAGAGCACATTAATACTGTGACCTCTATATCTGAGCTGCTACACACTATGCATACATGCTGTGATTGTAGTGCATATTGAGATCATGAAAGGTGTTGCTCCTGTAATGTACAGGAAATATAATGATGATTATTTTTACCGTAAAAAATCACATTGCATGGTTAGTGTCCAGTAAAGAGTATAGAAAACATTTCCTGCGTGGTTCCTGGCTGCTAGATGCCATTTATCCTGTTTGAAGTTGGTTTTCTAATATGTGAAGATGATGTCTGGATTGATGTTGTCAATACAACCTAGTGTGCAGGTTTTACACCATCGGGTATATTAATGGATGTTTTCCTAATTCATTTAAGTTTCTTTCTGACCTAAGTGATCAAGACTTGAGGAATCCCTTATGATTTATATTTCCACCAATTTTGTATTGCTGAAATGTTTCTAGTTAAGGCAGTTATGAAAAAAATTAAGTTAAAGTTTGAAGGTAAAAAAAAGTTCTATAAACTGTTCCTGTGAATGATTGAGTAAAATTGTTTTTAAATGTTTGGAATCTTGTCTAAATCCTTGAAAAAATATTAGTACTAAATAAAGTCCATTGCAATATTGTAGTATATACTACATTGCATAAATAGAAACCAAATGCTTAATTTTAATAACCGAGATATATTATTTGTCATGAACAGACTGATCAGCAGGGTCTACTGTCAAAGTGGTCTAGTTAGTCTGTTCTATTCTATGCACAATTGTGTGCCCAGTTTATCCCATAAATGTTCAGTGTAACACGGATCTGGCAAGAAGGGTATCCATGCCATAACTATCAAGTTATCTAACCAGAAAGCTTTTCTGTATTGTGCTGAACAGGGTTATTGGACTTATTAGATATTCAAAATAGATGAATGAATATTAGTTCACTTCTGAAACATGCTACTTTGTGGATAAGATTTAAAATGCTGAATAATAGCAGCTTTCTCTACTACTTCTTCTGTGCTCACTATTGTGTTTTTTACTGAAATGAGAAATAAGAAACAGAAAATCACTTTATTAAATATTATACTTTTACTTTCATCATCTTCATAAAACAGAAAGTTTTGGTTGCATTTTTGTCATGATAAACAGTTCTTGTACAGTACCTGTAATTCTACCCTCTGCTAGTCAACGCTAGATAAAGGCACAAAATGTATTCAGTGAAAAAAACTTACTATGAGGAAAGTTCCTGTGCTCTGGTGAACAAGTATCGGGCAAGGACTCAATACTGCCGTGGCCATGATATAACATCCAACCCCAGTGCCGAATGTGGTTAGCCCCGCCATCAGCAATAAGGACCTTAAAGAAAAGGCACACATTTGTAGTTGTGTTGGCAATGAAAGGATAAACACATCTGCAATAATTTTACCCAATTATCCTCTATATGACCTAATATAAAATTAGTATGTGAATGCTTGCTGACCACTAGGGAAAACTGCAATGGGCTTGCATATCTTTGTTAGAATTTCAAAAATGAAAAGAAAACTTTAATATTGATGAAACACTTGAAATAGTATGTGGTGATTCGTACAATTGTATGTGACAAACATTTGCTGTTGATTTTTAAAGCAACCTGCTTGAATTTCTCTAGTGCTTTCCATCCTAAAGGATCATGAATAGGAGAGACACACTTTCTCTACTACAAACGTATAGCATTCTCTGGGTTACATGGAAGCCATTGTCATTGAAAACTGAGGAATTACTACAACAATTTATTTAAGGTAGAGGTTTTAGAAGGTCAGGTTGTACATGATGTTCAAACTGATAATTAGACAAATACACCACAGTTCAATACTCTTTTGAACAGTGGCAGAACAGTGGAGATCTGTGATGACTAAAATAGTCAGGGCAAGTAAGTATGATGATACCTCCTAAAACAGTGTGTCCTGTCACCATGTTGGAGCATTGATTTGGACATTTTCCATTTATTTGGAAAAACTGCAATGTAGTATGTGAAAAAAAGTATGTGTGATGTTTCCAAAATTTCAGTACTGACAAAATCCATCCTTACCTAGTGTCTGAGATCTGGTGCCATCAGGTTATTAGGTGATAACACTGCTGAACACGGCATAAAACTTAGTGAGCTGTGACTCTCGTATTTACACATTAAACACATTTTCACATATTAAATTTCTCTCATTCTGTGACACATGGTTAGCAGCTGTTTTAACTGTTCCATTTCTAAAACTTAGGCAATGGTGCCTTTGGATAAAAACAGTCTGTTATTTAATTGTGGTTATTTACATTACTTTTAATACAAATCATAAAGCAAAATAAAGCAGCTGTTGATTGTAGGTCCAATTATATCCAGGAGATATGCATTACTGATGAATATTTAACCATTTTAGCCATATTTAACCAAATTCATTCATTTTCTAACTGTTTTTTCCAATACAGGGTCACGGGAGAGCCAGAGCCTATCCCAGCAAGCAACAGGAGCAAGGCATATTACACCTAGACAGGACACCGGTCCTTCACAGGGTACATACAGACAAAAACACAGATACACACGCAGCAGGGAAGGTTTTCCCAGGAGCCAATTACCCTACCAGGAGGTCTTTGGACTGAGGGAGGAAACTGGAGCACCTGGAGGAAACCCAAATGAACATGGGTAGAACATGCAAACTCCACACAGACAGCACCCCGGAAATTTCTGGAATAGAAATCAGGGCCCCAGTACTGAGGGGCAGCAATGCTAATCACTGTAACTGTGCCAGCTTTCTAGAAAATAAAGATGTTAAATAAAGTTGAGAAAACCCTAAAGTAATGAAGAAACCCTTGCATGGATTATTAAAAAATCTGTTTAAACTCTTTAAAACTCACCTGAGGGGCAGAATCATGGCAATGAAACAAGCCGCTGGGTTGGCTACAGCTGCAAGAGTAGCAGCCAGGTGGTAGGCACTATTGCCGTAGGGCAGGCAAGAGTAAGACTGGACTGCAGGTAGGACAGCGTTGGTCAGTGCATTGACCCAAGCAAGGACCACAAAGACAAACAGGACTTGCATCCAGCTATACTTCCCAGATCCAAAAGAACTCTTCAGCTCTGACTGGGGACTTTCCAAGGGACTGATCATGGGTTTCTGTTCAGGCTGGTTATTCCGTCTGTGAGCCAGTTCCCTGTTTTCACCATTAGCAACTCCATCAAGGTATCGGTTGTGTTTACATTCCCGGCTGACAGCCGGGTGATAGTTTAAGAGAAGAAAGGCCACCAAACAGACCCCCATCATGAAACTGAGGAAAATGAAAAAGATTTGGGGTGAAAAATTAGCTGGTTGGTACCAGGCTTGAAGTTCAAAGGTGTCTGTGGTACTATTCCAGGTCTCGTTGATGGCATGTGTCTGGTTAACGCACTGGACAACACCGACGCCTTGGATCAAGGCCACCAACCCTGGGACCAGCCCGCTGAGACCCTCACCAATGAAGTAAGTGGTGAGGTACTGGGGCTTCAGACGCATCATGAAGGGCAGGAAAGTCACAGAGGAAGTGCAGTCCACAAGAGAGAGGAAGAAGGTGAGAACTAAGAGAGGAACACTGCGGGAGTCTCCACCTATGACTAAAGTCTCCTTCCAGAAGAAGGCCAGTAGCAACGTAGCCAGGATGCCCAAGCTGATGATTGTGTAAATGACCGCCACTTCACTTAATTTTCCAGGATAGAAACGGTGCATCAGGGTGACAAACAAGGGTCCCATGTTGGCCAGCTGAATTAGGACAGTGAGATAGGAGGGCAGGTACCATCCTTCTGGAATCTCGGGGACAATGAGAGGGAGCTCCACCCACATGCCGTTAATGGCCACCCAGGAGCCCATTCCAAACAGGCAGGCCAGAGCATGAGTCAGGAGAGACATGGCGGAGCGGCGGTCTCAGCAGTCCCTCTGGGATGCCTTGAGGACACTTCAGGATGTATGGACTGTCTGGCATGGTAACATAAAGGCAATACAGATTTTAGAACCTAAATGTCTATATATAAAGTCAAATGGTATATGGCATTTTATTTAACACAGTCTTCACATTTGACATATTTATCCAATAAATATTTATACCACACATAAACTGAATATGTAATTTTAATCCTACATGACAGAAAAGTCTATGTTTTCATTGTCCTCAATTTATTTAGTGTTATAATGGCTAAGAGATTAAATTACTTCTTTCATGTAACTAAGAACTATTTATTTCATGTAAAGTACTTTAAAAATTAATTATTATGGACCAGTAATATATAATGAAAAAAAAGTTTAGTACAAAGTATGATATCGTGCTCGTTGATGGAGCAGGAAACATAGTAAATCCAATACATTTCCTCGTTTGGCACCTAAACGAGGAAATGTGTATTGTATTTCTTTGAAAGTACAATTTAATTTAGGTAAACACCATGTTGCATAAGGTTCCGAAAGAATTGATCTATTTTTTAAAATAAAAACGAACCTTAAATGTTTTAAAGACTGCTGTGGTGTAACGTTTAAGTAATTCGTGCATTTACACGACATATGAAATTCCTTTCCAAGTTTAATCCCCAGAGACGGTTCCCCGGTATCGTATCCAATTCAGTATGCCTGTGGATACGACAGCAGCAAAAGGAAGACGGGACCAAGGTCATGCGCTCACACGTTTATATCAAGGGAATTGACACGTATCAACAGCTGTTTAATTACCGTCTCCATTTAAAGCTAGGGAACATATTAAAAAGAACAAATAGTATAATCCAGTAGAATCATTTCATTTAAAAAATACCACGTATATTGTAAATATGCATTATAATACATACTTGTGAAAAAAAATATTAATTTTCGTTAATACGATAGCTGGGGTTTACCGATATCGAAAATGTTCTATACATTTTCATTTGAATGCATACTCACACATAAAAACTGAGACCCCCGGATTCATGGAAGCTTACACACGCTATGATGTACAGTACCAGGAAGCGCTTGATTGTCTCCGAGCCTTCCTGCACTATAATTAGAGCCTTTTCATCGTTGCATCATTCTCCTCGAGTAGAATCGAACAGCCAAATGCAGTTAGCCACCCCACTGACTTTGCGTTACATGCACCTGACTGAAAGAGAAGAACCCTACTCATTTCCTGTGCCTGTGCTTTAAGCCTCTAGTCTGGCAACATTCTGTAACCGGCAACACTGAGCCACGTGCTCTCATCTCATGCTGGGCAACTTAACCCTTCCCAGCAGCCCTGACGATGACCGTCAAATTTTCATCTGAGCTAACAAAGAGGGAGGAGAGACTGGCATGAAAAACCTTCCTCATACCTGAGTGAACTGCAGTATGAACGTCATTATCTCTTAGTATCAGAGAACGCCAGTTGCAATAGTAAAGTTTTGAGAACCTTCCCTGTATTTCCACATCATCTTTAATTCTGTCATCAGACTTTTGAAATACAGAACATTACAAGATGGGATTTTTTTTTTTCACCAGAACTAGATGCTGCCTGAAATGCTAGATATTAAGGTTACCAAAACTTACTTATAGGACAACTTCTATTAGTTGTTGTGTGCTTACCTTGTTTTTTCATCAGCCCCAATCCAGTAGCATTAGAACCTGGTCTGTGAAATTCTTGAAGGATTTGACAGGATCAATTTATCCAAGGTAAAAAGTACACTGTAGTTTTAAACAATTTCTTATTTTCTGTGATATTTGAATAACATAGAGAAAACAATGGTTAGATCCCAGGACGTTTGTGACTTCAGGGAAAAATGCCGGGAATGTTTCATTTTTTTATTATAATTTGCAATAGCAGAACATCCCACATCAAACTGAATGCCGTCTTAGGTAAACATTTAAAAAACGATCCCTTTTCGTGCTCCACATTCTTTAAGAATCGTTAAAGTCGTTAAAATTATTCTCTTAAAGAATTACAGTTACATTTTGACATAAAAATCACAACTGTGTGTTGTGTGGAGGAGCAGCGCACAGAAGGATGAAATAAAATAATGTTTTAAAGTACAGCAAAGTAAAGGCATTCCACTGGAATTAAACACTAGAAAAGTTAGAAAAATATGTAAGAATGCACTTTTGCTAAGAGTTTGACTTTCTCAACATTATAAAATATCCGTTGAAGTGAAAAAACGACTGATATTAATCAGTTAATTTCAACACTTCCTGTTCCAGTGTTCCTACTGTGACAAAGGAAGCAAAATTAGCCTCTTGTTTTTTTTTTTATAAAACTCTTAACATACAGTATATACATTTATTTAAACTCATTGTGATTTTTAGGTATTGCACTGCTGTATCTCCAATATAAAAAAAGTTAACAGGTGAAATTTATTAAATTAATTATCAACACTGATCTAATAATCAGTAATAATATTGATAGGTATTGTTTTCGAGGACGTCAAAGACAGCTGCCTTTTCACTTATCAAATTAGCTTTCTTGTAAATAACTTCACTACTGTATTTCTGAATGAGTATTTCTGATTAGTTAGTAGGTACACCTCATAGATATTAACTGAAAAGGAGATATAATGGAAGTAAAGATAATTGGTATTTTAATAAATGTTTTTTTTATATAAACATGATATTATATAAACATATAAACATTTATATTTGAATAAACATTCCTGAGCAGTTAATAGGTGACATGAAAAGCATTAAAAAGTTTGTGTTTCATATACTATGATTTCATTATGAAGACAGATGTGAATTTAGGAATTGCAGTGAACAAGAATTATCAGAGGTATACAGTATACGGTACGTAACATACGTATACATACGTATATGTATACGTAAGAATTACTGGGACACATTACACAGACATGACCCTATCAGTTATCTCCTATATTTTGACTATAAGCATACAAATATAGTGATAAATATAATAAGATTAGAACAGTAAGGTTATAATACACGCACATTGTTTTTAAAGGAAGGGGATTTACCCACCTTCACATTGTTATGAATTCCTGCTGTGTGTATTATTCATAGTGGTTCGTAGTTAACCATGGTAAGCAGACACAACTAACACTTTGCCCTAGTTAATAATTAAATTAGAAACTGTTGTAATTTTACAGAATAATTTGCAGTTTCTTGATACTATATTATAAACATGCTGTTTATAATATAGTACCCTGTTATAGGAATGTTATTCATTTTCTAATTACATTAAATGTGCAAGACAGGTAACATTTGCAGTAATAATAGATACATTTTTGCACGACTTTACAGCTCAAAGACTATAATTGAAAACATTTGATATTTTATGTCATGACAATAACTACTTTAGATGGTACCGTGGTAAATAATACATGGTTAATAATAATAGTAATACTGAATTACAGTGCCAGCGTCATTTGCTATTTGCTTCTGACTCCAGAGCTGTATACTTACTCACAGTGGTAGCTGAGTAAATGACGGTCCCCTGTGGATGCTTATGTCCTGTGTAATGTAGATGAAGAGAAACTGAGAGGGATTATATTTTCCTTGCTGAGTGGGTGTGCTCAGTTCAACCAACCATAAGCTCTGGTTATTTAACAGCTTGTTATCTTCATGTGTCTGGTTTCTGTCCTGAAACAAACACAGTTAAAACAGTGAGAATCTAAACAGTGCTTTATGACTTATTATAAAATTATAAAGCAAAAGTGTCTTATCTCTGTAATGTCTAAATGCCTTTAAATATTTGGGTTTCAGACAATTTCTTTATGTCATCAAGTGCATTTTTTATATTTTCTATTACTTCTAAAGAGCTGACTAGTCTATAATACTGACGCCACCTTATTTGGTCAGTATTAATCTTAGATTACAATCTTATGCAGTAGTTCTTCATTAATGTAAAGTGATTATTGCCTGCATTAAATATCCATTACCATTGTTATACCAATATTGTTATACTAAGTTATAGCTAATGCAAAACAAGCAAGAAGTACCCATAAACATATTGAGATATGGGTACACCATAACAGAACTGAGATATTAAGAAGTAATAATTTAGGCATGAATGATTGATGTTTTGGGAAGCAACCATGTAAGTTAGCACTGCTTAAGTTCTGAGTTTAGTTCTGGCCTGGAGCATGCATGGAGGATGTATGTTCTTTATGTCCAAAAATATGCTGTTTAGATGAATTGGCATCTCTGGCTTATTTCTCCCTAGTGTGTGTGCTATGGGATGGACAGGTATCCTATCCAGGGTGTATTGTGCCTTGTTCAATGTCTGACAGAAAATAATCAGAGAATGGATGTATGAATTTAAGTTGTACTCAGAATGAACACAATTATATCCCATGTGAAAATGGTACGGTTAATATTTCAGAATGGTTTTCAAAAATCTTTTCGCTTTCATTTTTTTTAGCCCTTTTTCAGCTTTTAGCTTTTTAATGTTGCTGCAAAGTTGAGCTGTGTGAAAAACTAGAAATGCGTGATTAACATAGTGTCATATCAAAGATGATTTATGGAGCTGAATACAAACAAAGCAGTACTTCCAAGAAGGATGTCACTTACAGTACATTCATCTCAAAGAACCCACTGTTACTAATATTTAACCTCTCTGCTTACTGCATACGTAATATTACCTACAGTATCAAATAGATACTAAGGAAGGGACCTTGTTTTCAAAATTACATGACTCTATCACTTCTAGCTGTGTGTCTGTATTCACCTCCTTGACTCAAGTGTTCACTTTCTTTTTTGGGTTCGTTTGGAGACAGGAGGACTAAACACCACATTTAACCGCTGTCCACTGTTTATTGGTGATCAGGCAAGGGAAACACCAACTCATGGGCTCAAGGGCTTGAATTGGTAAAATTACCAACACATAACACAAATACACCTGGCTCTGACATTAAACAAAAAAGATAGAGCACCAAAGCTGTTAAGTTTTCATTTTTATGATTTTAAGATTTTAAGATTTCCTGATGTCTGTTTAAGAATTTCTACATGCAAATTACATTTTGATTGATGTTTTGTTATTGAAATGAACATTAATTGTACCATAGAATTTTTTAAACATAGTGCCTAGTGTTCAGTTCAAATGGGCGACTTAGGAGGAAAAAAAACTCTTACAAGGGACTTATTTTGTTTTTGTGAAGAGTTAATTTGTATATGAGGAGCAGGAATAAACTCTACATACTTACTGCAACAAGCATTCAGCGTGACACTTTTGCAGTTAACAGTCAGGTCAATGGTTATTTCTTAAGCCTTTTGTTTGAAGTCCAGGAAATTTTAAGCTGTAATGCAAGTTAAGAACATAGGATCAGTGTCAAATGAAAGGAGGCCATTCAGCCCAACTAACCCATTTGATGAAAGGGAACAAATAGTGCACATATTGAGGAATGCAATATTTAAATATATACATATAATTAGATGTTCTGGTTAGTTTTGGGAAAACTAAAACTTTTTTAAAAAATCAGTTATGTTTACTTAGTCATTTATGTCCATTCTGTGTGAAAGAAGAATGCCATCCCCTTTAAGACCAGGCTTACTGAAAACTTTCAGACCTCTAGAAAACACAATCAGCATGGAGGTTGTAGGTTCACCCTGTGTTCACGTGGGTACTCTGGTTTCCTCCCACAGTCCAAAAACACACTGATAGGTTAATTGGCTTCTGGGGAATTTGGCCCTGGTGTGAGTGTGCGTGCCCTGCAATGGACTGACATCCCATCCAGGGTGTACCTGTTGTTTGCCAGGATAGGCTCCAGCTCCCCTGCAACCCTGAGTTGGAAGAAGAGGTTAGAAGATGAATGGAATTTTTCGGTTTTAATTTTTTCAGTTCTGGCACATTTTATAGCTTAGCATACTGTACTAATTGTGTCTTCAGTAATAGATGTGGGTTTATCTATGTGATCCAGTTTGCTAATGACTAAGTTAATATACTTAGTCATTTGCAAAGATCTCGATTTAGATCTTGAATTGTTATTTATCAAATATATGATTAGCAAATAACCATCATTAAGGTGTCCAGGGTATACATGTTGCTTGATATTGGTTATCCTAAGAGAAGAAATTGTTCTTACACTTGTTTTTCCTCTCTCTTTTTTGTTAAAACACAAAGCAAAGCAGATTTTGTACTGTTGTGAAAAAGCTTATAGTTGTAACTTAGACTCCTGAAAAAAGAAACTGCAACTGTTAAAATGATCTCACCACCTTAACCGGTCAGAATGCTATTGCTATAGAATGCCTGAAAGAGCGCCGTCTTCACAACAAGAAGGAAGCATGTTAGAAAAGGGCTGCCTTATTTTTGTCCAAAGCAGTTTTTGACAAAATGATCTTCCAGCAGACTCCAGTTTTGACACAGACAAGAGCCGTTCCCTAATTAAAATGATTAATGATTGACTAAAGGAGACAGTAACAGCAGTCATGCAATGAACTAAATGACAAGGTAGCTTTTCTGTGTTAGCTTGGAGAATCAAGATGTTGTACCTCTTTTAAAAAGTATCAGGGAAGGTTTATAAAAGAATGTGCTGTCACACAGCTGCTGAAAACAAGGTAGACACCCAGTTTTGAAAATGTAATCTTTAAGTTTCTCTTTTTTGTCACAGAACATCGTTTTTGATTAGGCTTCTCTTACTCAAATGTCCTTTGTAATATAAAGCTATCAGTACTCATGTTTGATGGTCTTGTTTTAATACTGTTTCGAACAGTAACTCAACCTGACCCAAGCAACAACATTTAGTCTCTGAGAGCTTGAAAATGGTAACTGCTTCTGTCACACAAAATGATGAATTTGTGAATTTAACAAAATGATAAATTCTTCCTTCATATACTCAAAGTGGTGAAAGCCTGTCAAAGTAGACTATGATCTAGTGAAATCTTGTCCTGCTGTGGGGGCTTAGCAATACTTACAGAAGTAAAACAATTTTAGAGCAATTTTCAGTTCCAGAAGTCGCTATTTCTCATTGGAAATAACAGTAACATTTTTTTTTTATTTAAACCTACTATAGAAGCACTACCAGCCACTTCAATAAATGGCTGAATGAGACCTTTGGATCAATCAGTTCTACTTACCTGATGGCCTATAAGTGCCAAAAAGTCATCATCTCACTTGTAACCTTTCCCATGTTCTTAAAATGATAGGAGGGGATCCTTGAGGAAATAAAGGCACTCTTTCTAGTGGGTGGAGTTTGACATTAGCTTTACTGAGAATGCACCTGTCTTCCCCAAGAAAGACATTGACTTGACTCCTGGTTTTTTCCAGTACCACACAATCACACCCTAACTTTGCAGAACTATAAGCCCAAGTTTGCAAACCCAACTTTAAACTTTAGATACTGTATTAATTGTGCTATTGTGCTATGCAGTTATTAGTTTGCACTTAATTCTGAATAGTCTGTGGTAACAAACTAGGTTTATTTTATTTAATTTCTTTAAACAAAATTCTAAAAATATATTTAAGTAGGTAGCTGTGTCAGCATGTGTAAGCTGCAAAGGATCAGGTAAAGGTTTATTCCATGTTGAAAGGAAACGAAAAGAGACACAAAATTTTGACTTCTTCACACCTGAAGAAGGCCCCACAGCCAAAATGTTGTGTTACTTTCCTTTTCCTTTCAGCATGGAATAAACCTTTACCTGTTAAAATACAGTCTATTAATCACAGAGTACTGCAGATGCTGTACTGTGATGCGAAACTGTGCTTCGTTGTCATGGATAAATTATTTCATATTGTCATCGTACAGTACATTGTCCATTACAGTCAAGTAGAAAAGTAAGTTTTAAGGTCAGTCTAATGTGCAAAAATATCAGCTAGGGCTTGTCTTGGATGGCTGAACAAAGAAGTACCTGGTCATTAAAAGCAATGTAGTGTAACTAACAGAAATGACTGTAATAGGAAAGTTGCTGACATACCTGACAAGGCGCATGAAAGCTTGTATTAAAGAGGAGTTAAGGCACTGAGTTTATAAGCAGAATGATGTTGAATTTTAAAGGTTAAACTAGATTTCTTCAAAATCCCTCCCAACACAATCAGTCCATTGACTCACTTGGCTGTATTGTGCTATCACATGAATCCAACAGCAAAAGGATTGCATTGTTCTAAAAACAGATCTCAAGAAAACATTGACCTCTGATTGATAATATTGATCTTTTTGCAGTACCACATGATTAACCTTGCCGGATCATAAGACTCCATTGTTTCAGGGAGGCTGCAGGGTTTGCTGTATAGCTGAGATCTGTGAGAACCCTGGGAAACACTACCCTACCGTGGGTGGCGATCAGGTACTTGTTCGGCCTCTCTGTGGGGAAGCTAATGACAGGACCCAGGCTGAAACCTGGCTTCATAGTTCACCCTGAGCCTCTTGAACAAAGATACATCTCTTGAGACCAGCGAGAAGCACATGCCAAATTAATCAAGACAGCTGAAGTAATCTGAAAGGACCATGGATTACTGGTATGCCTGAGGGAATTACAATTAACAGTCATTCCATTTATGGACACATCATTTTGAAATAACCCTTCTGCCTCTAGTAAGGGATACTGATATTCTAAAGCACCACTATATGTAAAGCTCTGCTGAACTTGTACAGTTATGTTTAGACTTGTAAACATTATTAGAAAACCCTAAATATAAATTATTAAATGTTAATATTTAATATAACTACTATTAAAGCCATTGATTACATTTACTATGGTGCACCAATAGCTTACAGTATAGATTAATGGAAGCATGTAATCAGAAATTAAAATATAAAATTTAAAAGAACCCACAGTACAAAACATTTATTTAAAAAAGTACATTAAATGATCAATAATAACATCTTTTCCACTTACAAATCCAGTGCTAGCTTCACCTCTAACAGGTAGAGAACACAAAGCCTGTGTTCTTTACTATATAACATTTACATCTTACTATGTATTAGTATGTAATACTATGTTTTACTATGTAAACACATATTAATTCAACCTGTTTATGTTTCATGACATTTTATTTCTCCAGTACCATGGATTTAGTTGGACCAAAAACAACAATACCCATTGCTAATAAATGTTTCCCATTCATTTCACATTAAATACAAATGTCAGTGAGAATGAAAATATAATTTAAATGTATTATACAAACATTCAAAATACTGAAGAATTATTTTCATAACAAAAAATACTTCCAGCATTTATACTGTAATACATAAAAAATCAAATGAATCAATAAAGAAAAGAATGACATACCCTGAAAGTGTATTTTAGATTTGTGTTGATATATTAAAAACAGAAAAGAAGCTGCTTTCTACCCAGTTACTATTTCTTGTACATTAGACCATGTAAGACTAATAATATGGTCTTAGTCCATCCAGGTATTCCAAAGAAAGGCAGGACCAGGACATTTGACTTCTGCACCACTGAACTTGACACAGTCCAATTAGTGACAGACACTCCAAAAACATTTGGCAGATTATGGTTCATGGTGCTTCAGACCTTATCATGACCAAATCCTCTTCCACACTGACTTGCATGGCAAAGGTGGACAGCAAATAGAGGCAGCCTTAGTCACAATAGGTGGGAAGTCGTTAATTTTAGGTAGTTAATGAGAGGGGTTGCCTTGTTCCCCTGTCTGGAACTAGAAAGGCGTCAGACTCCTCTTACTTGGTAGTCAAAGTGCTGCGTATGACATATTAGGAAAAAGGTTCTGTCACCCTTCAAATCAAACAGTATCTTTCATGGGGATAGATGCATATTAAACAACATTATGTTGATATATCAACAATGTCTTCATGTTTTCATATCAACTACTTCATGAGTAGTGGAGTAGATACTCCTCAGACATAAATGATGTATTACAGACAAATATTGGTACCCATGTCTAAACCCAGTCAATTCACCTGGAGTGTTTTTTACTGCTCACTACAAAGATTTACTCTTAAAAATCCATGAAAACATAATTGGTAATATGTACGGTTTAAATAATTATAATGACAAAACTGAGTGAAGCCCCTTTTTAAATCACATGTATTTTCGAAATGTAGTATTCCGAAATATTTCTATACTGACTTTCAGGAAAAGCTAAACAAATTATGAATTTATTTTTAATGTAATGACAAGAAAAAACACAGACAACGAGTAGTTTATTTGTGAGATCTGTGGGATGAGCCAGGAGGGACAACGTGTGGCATCTAGGGCTCAGACACTAGTGAACAGTGAACACAGATGTGTTTGTCCAGGCTGTAGGAGAGCAATGAGACAGAAGCCCATGAGGCAGCAGCTCTAACCCTATGCAAAGAAGACTTCACAGGTATACAAACTGGATGGCTGTTAATAGCAGCCACACACACTACCAGCCTCTGATTTTCCCAACAGAGCCCCAGACGATTCGCCTCATTCATATTAAACATATTAAGCAACTTCATAATTTGACCTATTCACACATTAAATTATCAGTGCCTCGTCTATAAAAAAGTTTTACATTTTTTTGCAGTTTTATGTCATAACTTTAGGGTTAGGGAAGGATTAAGCCCTAGTCATGCATTTTGAAAGATATGTTTTAAAAGATTTGGTATTTTGCCAAATAATCTTTGGCTTATTCATTCAATTTTTATTAGTTATTGTTTCATTTTTTTCACTCTGGATACTTTGATTTGTGTTAAAGATCGAAGAGCCATTGAATTTGTTTTAAAAGTTTGAAATTGACAGTATGTTAATCAATAAAGATGTTCTTTTCAAAAGTTGGAAAGTAAACAGGATGACGTATCAGCAATTATTTCTAAAACATTTGATAAACTAAGTTCCTTTCATTTACAGATATTATTCACACAATGACCATGGGACTAGAAATACTAACTCTGAACACTAACTCCTCACCCATCTTTTCCCCAATTAAGAAGAAACTGCAATTGAAAGAATCCTAATCACCTGAACTAGCCCATGTGTCCAATGTCTCCCATAGTGCATTAACAGAGTGCTCATGGCAGGTGTTGACTAACTCAATGTCAACTATTAAGTGAATTAAAAACAGGACTTTGTCTAAGTTGAACAAATGCAGTGAAGCTGGCAAGTATGGAGTACAGTATAACCACTGTAATGCACAGTGTGATTGCAAGAGGATAAAAAGTTTTTTCTGCATTGACACGTTGAGACACAGAATCTACGAAACCTGCACTATGGAGGAGAGCTGTATCACATAGCATTGTAATAGGCTAACAAGATGTCTAAAAAACGACTTTGGTTTGTATATCTTTTTACTTCATCCCTCACATGATAAATGAAAATTACCTTTTGTGATTTAATCGCATTATAATGGAAAATAAAGTAAATTATAAACATTAATGGTAGAATGAATTATGATTTCTCACTTATTTTATGCACCAGCAGCCGTCATTGTTACAGCGAAGCATAGAAATCTGTAGTATGTTTGAAGAGAACATTTCCAGTCCTCAAATCCTTTCAATTTATGCTTTAAAGGCTATAGTAGAGACAGAAGACAGCTGTACAATGCACATTAAGAATGCAATGGAATAAAATGTCAACCCCCAAACAACAGGGTTGGGTAGCTATGCTAACTCACCCTGAGTAAAATCTTGTATTTATAGACTGCAGTTGTCTACACAGTCCTGTGCCCTTTGGAAAATATCATAGACGCTAACCAGCGGAAACATAATAAGGGCTCCTATCAGGGATCCTGCCTGGATAAACACCCCACACCACAGCAGGGCAGCGTGTCCGGCCTCATGCAGCAGAGACCCGATGACCACCTTCAAGTAGGAGAACAGCGCAGTGAAGACAATCCACGAGATGACCTGGACAGGAAGAGATCATGAATCTCACGCCATGAAGCTGCGCTCTCATCCCTGTTCTGTCAATTAGGTTCAGAGAAACTCTTGACAATTTTGGATTCCAGTGGGAGGGGTTTTAGCAAGGTCTATTTAACACATACAAAATATTCCATTAGTTCAATATATATATATATCAATTTTATTATCATGATGGTAATATTTCTTTCTTTCAACCTCTACAAGAACCCATCTGTTCTTATTCGGTATGTAATGACTATTTTATTCATTTTCATTCACTCTTTTTACCTTGGCACAGTATTTTAAATAAACATTTCCAAATGAATACCTGATCCTGCATATTTGCCAACCGTGAAAGCATTATGGTGCAACACTGACAACTTCCCAGCATTTCTTTTCATTCAAGAATGTACATTACGTGCTTTTTTGGGGAAAAAACTGGATCTTTGAAAAGTTGTAAATGGCAGAAAAATTAATTATACAGAAATATACTGTCGACTGGCAACATACACAGGGGCTAGGGATTTTGAGTCACGTGTAAAGTCAAAATTCGCATTTATAGTCACATTTTACCCTATAACTCTTAGAAAAATCCCCCACTAAACCTTTTACAGAAATACAAGATATTAAATACCAGTATAAAAACAGTATATTTAAGTACATAAGACTACCGTATAGGCTCGCTAACTAGTGCGTGCTCGATGAAGTTTGTAGAAAACAAAGCTTTTTTCATTTTTTTTAATGTTCCAGAGCCAACCGCCTTAGTTGAGAGCGAGTCTAATGTAATACGATATTTAACAACTAGATAGTTTATGAAGGTATATTTTCTCCAGCTCTTGTCATTCTGTAGCGCAGACCTGGCACTGCAATGTCAGCTTCACCCTGAAGAAGGGAAGCGCCGCTCAGACACTCACCACTAAACTCACGCCTACTGGGTTTCCCAGGAGAGGAGGGCAAGGGCTGAGCGCCGCAAGAACCAAAAGGTACGTTGCAAACGCCCCCCCGGCCACTGACATGGCCCCCAGGCCAGCACTGGACCTGCAAGGCGGAGAAGATTCAAATTAGTACAAGTCACTGGCATAGGAATACAAAACTGAACAGAAAAGGTACGGTATTTTCATGCATCATCACAAATTATACACAATGTAAACACAACTTGGCGTACAACAATATCATAGATCTCCAGATCAGATCAAGCTTGACCATCACATGAGCAAACAGGGCGCGTTTTAAGTTAACCTTATATGTGCGTTTGGACAAAATTGAAAATTTTACATCACTAGTAAATTAAATCTAAGAGATCATTTTATAAAAGAATTAGTGAAATTATATTTAAGAAAAGTATTTTGACAGCTATTCATACTTCTTCGATTTACTTTTGAAAACTGTAATATGAGCAACTCTTACTCTTCCCACTAAACTGAGTGAACATGTTAATTTGACGTTTTACATATTTTGTGTGATCATATTACAGTTTGAAATTTGCTTACCTTCATTTAGAGACCAAAACTGTACTAGAGCTTTTAATGATATTCATTATACAATTTTTATGTTGTAATTTCTTACTTTTATATTGGAACTCTGTTGGGCAGTGTTTTTCTAAGTGCTTATGAATAAAATATTAAACATTCAAAAGTATTACATGCTAATACGCTGCCTCATGTTTTCTAAACTTTGTTTTAAAATATTTTTTAAATTTTAAAAAATTATCATCGTGCCAGATGTAAGACTATAGAAACCCTACTGTTGATAAAGAACGTAGCATAGTAAGACCAGATATAAGTTTAATCATGAAACCATATTTCTCTGTATAAGGCAATTAACTAAAATTTCTACATTACAACAGTAACATAAGCACAGAAATCTCCCATTCTAGCTAAATGTTAAACTTTCTTACAATTCAAGATGGTAAAAATCTATATGTACAAAAGGCACCAACCTGCACAGGACAAACATCGCTATGAAGCAAGCCAAAGGGTTCGCAATGTTGCCAAGGACAACAGAAAGGTGAAAGGTCATTGTACCATATGGCAGACAGGCAAAGCTCTGCACTGATGGTAGAATCCCATTTGTCAAAGCATTGGAGATGCCCAGCAGTGCCAGCAGGTAGATATTGCGACGCGTCCAGAATGCACTGTGGGGGGAATCCTTCGAAACATCCACCTGGTCCTCTGCGACATGTGGAGTACCGTTCTGAAGTGGGTGTGTTTCTGATTCTTCTTTGGAAGATGGAGAACCCAGATCTTTTTCTTCTTGTGCGGGCTGAGTAGGAATCCTAAACGACAAGGCCAGGAATGACAGTCCGGATATTCCCAGCATTGTAAAGAGGAACCAGAAGAAATTCCGGGCAGGGAAATTCTCATCAAGGTAATGTGGAGACAGAGTGCCATTTCCTGAAGTCCCGTTCAGGCACTCCAGCTTTCCTACACCCTGTCCCAGTGCCACCACACAGGGGAAGAGAGCACTGAGGCCTTGGCCCACGAAAAAGGTGCGGATATACACAGAGGGGTAGCGGAACATGAAGGGTAGGAAGGTAACGTTAGAAGTACAACACACCAGCGCAAGAATGAAGGTGAGCAACAGGTAAGGCACAGAGTGGCTCTTTCCAGATACCAACACAATCTCATCCCAGAAGATGGCAAGGAAGGCTGAGGCCACTACAGCCAATGCCTGGATGCTATGGATGACCAATCGCTCGTTTAGCCTTCCTGGTGCAAAATGGTGTGTTAGAGTTACCACAACTGGACCCACGTTTCCAAATGCAATCAATATAGAGAGATAGGCAGGAAGGTTCCAGCCTAGAACAGAAAAGAGTGGTAAATCATTCATTTGTTACATGCTATAGACATAAGCCTTATTGATAAATAAAAATATTCTGAAGAGAATAGGTGGAAATCCTCTGTTCCTATAGGAACCATTTCCCAGTTTCTGCCAATGGTATCCATAAATGAAAAGGAGACTGTAAACTTGCCATTTTTTCCAGAGCAATACATTGAGTTATATTCTAAAGCTCATAGTTATATTAAATGTTCAGGCTACATTATTTCAGATTGCACAATATTCAATTTTATTTACAACTGACTGACCTTCTGGCAGAACATTGACCACCACAGGCAATTCCACCCACAATGAATTGACAGAGATCCAGGATCCCATTCCGAACAGAGCCACCAGCACATGACTAACTGCAGGAATGTTCCACCACTCCGCCATTTAGTGTCCGTGAAGAAATCTGCTGTGAAGGAAGCAGAACATATCTATTATAAGCCGACTGTCTATTATAGAGGTAGTTGAGATAAAGGGTAATATCGGAGAGTAGATCTAGAAACTGGCTTATCCCCAGCAAACTTAATGTTTCTCATAATTTATCTGCACTTCTGGATAAATGTTAAAGTACTTACAAGTACATCATATAGCTTTAAATATTAGCTTAACTACAAACATTTGCATTACTTTTCATCCCAATGGATCCCAAACAGCTTACATACCAAGCTCCACCTGAGTGAGACACAGCCCCACCACACAACAGATTAGTTGGGGAAGAGAGATAGTTAAGAAGGAGCTATAGACTACATTGAATGAATAATCTACATATACAGTGCCTATAGAAGTCTACACAGCCATTTCAAAGAAGCAGTTTGTAGCCTAACAGCCTGAAATGAAGACACATCACATCAGAATGTATTTGACCTTTATTTACACATTGTTACAAACTCCAACTAAAAAACAAATGCTCATTCTTAAAAGTAATTACTAATGAAAATCTTGAAAAATGGGTAGATGCACACATCCCTGAGTTAGTACTTAGTGGAAGCATCTTTTGCTTGAAGTATTGCCGTAATTTTGGTACCAATGTAGCACACCTAGATTTGGGAATGTCTGCCTCTACTGGCTTACAGAACTGTTCCAGTTTGAGAGCTTAGGGTCATACTGAAAGATAAAATTCCTTCCCAATTTCAGATTTCTTCCAAAGAACGGACAAATTTCTTCAAAAAGCCACCTGTATTTCCATCTAGTTTCCCTCCAATTCTAACCAGTGCCCCAGCTCCCACTACTGAGAAACAAACCCAAAAAGAAAGCTACCTCCACCATGCTTTGCAGTAGGACAGTGTTCTCAGGGTTTTCACCAAACATAACCTCCCATCTCCAGTATTGTCTAGCATACCTCAGACGAGACTGAATGTGGGATTTTATGAGTAGTAGCTTTCTTCTTGCCACCCTCCCATACAGCATACACTGTATGGACACTGACCAGTCTTTAACATGAAGGCCCCCAAGATCTTCAAAGCTGCCTTGGATTCTTGGTGGTCTCTCTGATCAGTCTCTTCCTTATTTTGTCATCCTTTTGGAGGGATGATCTGATTTAGGCAAGATCTTGGTGGCGCCACACACATTCCACTTCTTAATGATGGTCTTAATGGATATTTAAATCTTTTTATATCCATTTCCTGCTCTGTGACTTTCAACAACTTTACCTTGGAGGTCTTTTGATAATTACTTACCATATTTGACTCTTTGCGATGCACAACCCAAACAGACATATAGAAACAGCTAATTTTATTCTAAAATCACTACAGTGGAGACTGAGCTTATAAGTAGCTTATGATGTGAAATTGTTATTAGCTTATGAATGCAGAGTTTTCAATATTATTAAAGGGTGTGTACACTAATCCAATCCATTTTCCAAAGTTTTTATTTGTAATCGCTTTTCAAATTGAGTATTGTTTTTTCTCTGGACAATGGTGTGTTACAATGTGTAAAGTTTTACTTGGGAAGGGGTGTGAAAGTGTTCTATATGTACTGTATATGCTAGTAGTGTTATAAATTTGGTCATTTTTATTTGAAAAAACACATGGGTTTAACATATCAAATCCTGGCCTTTCTCAGATTAATCTCCAAAACAGATATGAATGTTGCACAGTATTTAGATAAGTAATGTGATCAGCATGGTGGTTAACACTGCTGCTTCTTGGTATTTAATCTGACTTGGGGCACCTTATAGTTAAGAGTTTTAATGTTCTCTCTGTGGCTACATGAGTAGCAAAGAGGCATCTGGTTTCCCCCCAAAGAACAAATAGACTGCATTGGTTAGCTGGCATCTCTAGTTTCTTGTAAAATGGATGTGCACGCCCTTGTTGGATTGGTGTCCCACTCAGGGTATGTCCTGCCTTGCACCCACTGGCTGCCCAGTTACTTACTGAAACACAGGTATGAAAATGAATGAAAGATGATGAAGTTATAATGCCCTATCATCCATATTTGAAATTATTTTAGATTTGTAACTCTGTATGTTGCACATTCTCCTCTTATATGCAATCCATATTTTGGCACATAAATAAAACACATGCTATTTCAGAGAATGATATGCTTTCAGATATTGCTGCACAAGCTTGTGATCTGATGTGTACTGCTTCTTGTTGCTGTTTCTTACCATAACGACACTGTCAAATTAATTATTAGTAATAGGTATATTCAATGCTGAAAAAAGCTTTTCAGCCGTGGGGCCTTTTTCAGAAGCATGGAATAAACCTATTACTTGTTCCTTTGCAGCCTACGCATGCTGACGCAGCTACCCAACTAAATTAGTTATTAGTTTATATTAACCAGATTCACTGCTTTTTTGAAGTGCCATGGTACATGAAGTGTTGCAGAGAAATATGAATTAAGAATTATGTACTTTGAATAAGTGAACCCCAGGTTTACTTCGCAAAATTAGTGGGCTAGAGAGAATCAGGTGGTCAAAAGGGTAACAACTAAACAAGAACTACATTTAGACAGCTGCCTCATATATAAAAATACACTTTGAGAGTGGGGGCTTCACCACAGAGGTTAGTGGAAACACATTATGCCATGATGAAAATCGATTTCAGAGAAAGAGAAGTTACAGTATATCAGACAGTACCTTAGATAAAAATCTACACAGACAAATGCATAAAATTGCTGAAATTATGTACATTTTAAGAAAAACATTTTGGAATAGAAATGCGAATCAACTTTGTCATGCCTAGCAAAGCAAGCCTGAAAATCTAGAAGGCTTATTGGGATTCAGAATTCAAATTAATTTTCTTAATTTGTTAACAATTAATATATATTAATATGATGTCCTTTTAGTTAATACCCATTTGTACATGTACATAGCCAGGGAATACAGTTAGATATTGAACATTTAAAATTTCATACTTCACTGTTCTAAATCGATGCTTTTGATGCTAAATGAAACTATTAATGAAGACATCTCAAAAGTAAAGTTTACTATCAATAAGATAGGTTTTATAAAAAAAGATAAATCAACAAAATTAAGGTTTTAAACTCCCAAACTTAATGCCAGTCTCAAACACAAGTAGCATGCTCATTTAGAAGATTTAAATGTCTTTCAATGTCCATTCTTTGGATATAGTTATAGTTACTCACATAATCGCCATGGACTGAACTGCTGTCGTTTCTTTTCAGAACCCACTATAATAGGGCTTTTCAGCACAAGATTACAGAGTAAAAATGGACAAATTAAGTGGCCTGGAGATGCAATGCCGAGCCTTTGACATGCTGTTCTATTCATTGGCACACCTAGTGATGAGGGGCAGCCAGATGGATTTGTAATTAAAGTGCTACCCCCAGGTAACTGAGCAGTGCTGATAGTTAGACAGATAAGACTTTATTGATCCCAAAGGGAAATGACAGTAGCCATTAATGTCTTACCATTCCACGATGAATGGGTATCCATGCGTATTTGTTAGTGCTGTTGAGCTGCATTTCTCAGGCATTCAGAAATCAGAAAACTGATGAAAACCATATAAAACTATGAATGAGATCTTAGGACACATGGAAGGAGGGTTACTTGGGCAGGGTATGTAGCTGACCCTTACTCTCCCAAGAGGGAGATATGTGTACAATCATTTGTAATCTGCACTCAAACTTAATGTCAATTTAACATCTGAACTCGGGGGAACACACACAAAAGGCTGGAATTGCAAAATCTGATTGCATTCAATTTATACATTTCCTAAAAAGATGCACAACCTCTCTCATGTGCCCAGAACATGCAGTGGGACTGGCAGAAAAACATGGATTTTTGTATGAAGTTTAAGAAAAGATCTCACTATTTTGACAGCCTTCACGTTTGTCATTCTGAAGTCGAATTCAATGCTCTGTTTATTTTATTAACATTACTCTGGCTACAGGACAGAATTCAGGGCTGTATGTGAACTCCACAAGATGTAATGCAAAGAATTATGCCTCTGATTTGTAGATTATATTTATGAACTGTCCTTCCAGGTAGTTTGACACCACAGCACTCTCTCACTAGAAAATAGTCAGTCAAAATATCCTTTGACTGACACTTTGTAAAATAAAATATGGTCAGGCTCAGTGACACAGCACATGTAATAATTAGTTTTGTGCTTTATTGGATCATGCAATGTGAATATTTCTTTTAATGCAGTCAAGTACTACAAGCAAGGTGTATAAATCACCTCTGTCTTTTAGCAATGTAACACTCAAACAACTATACATAGTTATGTATGAAGCATTAAGATTTTACCATGTTGTAAAGTACACTGATATGGTGTTCCACTATATATAAAGATCAAATCATCTTATTTGCTCATACAGTGAGCATATAGACACAATGACTATTTTGCATTGTGGATTACCGTTTTAAAAATGAACTGTGAATATTGTTCCAAAACTTACCGTTAGCTCCTGTATAACATTTAACACCTCTAATCGTTGGCATATTTAGCACTTGCTTTATAAAATCGGACTACGGGCACTCAAACTAAATTTTGTGAGTTATTTTGAAGAGATCATGTACCACTGCTGGGCCTATGCCATGCGAGAGGACATTTAACTCTAACCAAATAAACCTTTGCAGTTTTTTTTAAGTGATGAATTTAAGTATGATTCTTTTTGTCACAACTCTATGAACACATTCTCTCCTGATTGCCCGACACGCATACTGTACTCATACTATCCCAATTTAGAAACTGTATATACTAGGATTACCAATAAATTTAATTTACATTATAAGAGAAAATAAAAAATTGTGTACTCATTTCCTGGTGATCTGAATACACGATTAAGATGTCTTTGTTAAAAAGCGAAGAAAGTGATGCTTGGTAGCATGTTATTGTAAACAAGAGGCAATTCCTCTCTTATGCCATGACAACAGTAATGCTTACAAGGAAGAAGATGTTTCTTAAAGATAAACGCATATAATATATATATATATGGGTTTAT